GTGTAGTTTTTTTGTTAATGCTCTGACTCCGGCCCAGCATCGTGTTAATATCCGTATAGGTTAGCGCTTAGCGCTAAATTCTATGCTTACCCTATGTGGCCCGAGTCGCCACCGGCGTGGAGGAGAGCCGAGCCTATCTCTGTTATGCTATCTCCGGTAAGATTGTTCCCATGCCCTGGCTCCGGCCTGGCTCCGCTAACTCCCATAGGATCTAGTACTGCTACTTGCTTTAATTGCTGGGTCCGTAATTGTCCCTGCCCGGAGGATTAAAAAATAATAAGAATAGCTTTAATAAAGATGTTTAAGAGCTTAATTAATTATATTAATAAATTTAATAACATTATTAAAGGAGAGAAAAATTTACTATAATTACCTTATTATACGCTACTAAAAACCCTATATATTATAATACCCTTAATTAGGTTATAACTTAACGCGAAAAAACGCGAAAATAATAATAGATCACGATTTCCATTTAATTACACGCAAATTACATACGAGGGTGTGGCAGCCTAAATGTGTGTGTATCATCTTGTGGAGCGATGTAGGTTACAGCGCTCATGCATACAGCGGCGAATAAATGGACTCTGTCCACTGGGTATTAGAGCATCGCCAAGGTCAAGTTCTCAGGCTTTCTAAGCGGCTTATCTGTTCGCATTCCGTACCGCTGTCCACTTACGGATGATCATTTGGGTAAATCTATCTGCTTTAAACGTCCACAACTTTCCTACTTAGGCGGAAAAACACTGCTAACCCCTTTCACTTTAGCCTTGAATATTTGTACACGTATACATACAGGCTCTCCTTGCACAAATTCATATTCCAAGGCAGCGGCAGCAGTCTTAGGGAGCTTCATCTTGCCTAATCCTGTAGCAGAGCTTGAGCTCAAAGGGAAAGGGCTAGCTAGTTGGTGTTTATGTTACAAAGAGACAGAACGTTAGGCCTGGGTACGCTGCGTAAGAACTCCGGAAGGGCAGATTGACCACACTTTTTTCCTCTGTAAATAATCCAAGAAAATGCCATGAGAATTGTCCAGAATAAGCCATAAGATGCCAATTTCAGCCTTGACAAGCCCCAAGACCTGGAACACATCACTCTCTTGTCAACAGCGTCATCTCCTCCCCAAATCATGGCTCAAGAGCGAGCACGACTATTTATTATGTTGGCTCAAAAGCTCGAGATTGAGCGCAGCTTAGCTTGGCTCAGACCTTTTCAAATCCTCAAATTAGGGTTCTTGCTTTAAGCTGTTGTCTCAGAGCAGGTGACATGGTGACGGTCTTAGTCTTAGTCCCACTTGGGACTTTCCTGCCCTTTAGTGACCTGGACGGTATTCTTGGTGGGATATCGATTATTGGCATGTCTGTTCTACTGCTCACCCTCCCCGTATCAGTGTGAGTGCGCATAGAGTAGAAACTGTGCGAGAAAAGCCCAGGAATCCCACACAACCCCTTATCTGGGTATTTGACCTCTATTGATATTATAAGCTATTTGCCTGGGAGCTTCCTATATAATATTATCCCGGAGGGGTCTCCAATAAATTAGAAACAGGCTCTGGTGAGAAGTTGTTGTACTTTTCATGGTAGGTTTAACCGTGTATGTATTGTAGTGTAATAATGAGTAAATGTCTATCCCATATGATAATTTTGATGCGTTCCTCTATGGACATCAAGGCCCTGCAACGACAAGGACTGAAAATCTTGACTAGCGTGACGGACTCTGAAAGAGACCTTGCCGAAAAATTGAACCGTTTGACCGTTTAAAGTTCCGCTGCCGAAAATACGATCTGTTGCCTTTTGTCTCAAAGGGACATGTGGATTCTTAAACGTCCGGTAGTCCACAGTGTAGACTGGCCTTGAAGGCTCCCTTGGGTTAGAGATGAGTGCTGTGAGGCTTTTCCGTGTGAAATCGTCTTCTAGATCAATCACTATCGGGGACGTCTCTTCTGCAGTAGGTTGCGTTGCCACTGGTTGAGTATGCTGTCGGTGCTTGACGTGTGCGGGGGAGCTGCACGGTGCCCGAGTATGCGTCATACGACGGAAGGGCTTCAGTGGTCATGGACGACACTTCTGCTCATCTTGGTCGATGAAACAAGTCACTTGGTTGGAATATAAGCGTTGGGCTATTGCAGGGGTAGAAGCAGTGTCTAATTATCGAGGCTGTTTACATAATTGTTGGAAGAAGTACATAATATTTTAGCAGCCAGGGTCATAACTTGGGGGCGTCTACAGTTTGTTTTCCCAACAATAAATGATGTCAGGTCCGCGCCCTCAGTAATCTTGCGTACCATGTGTTCTGCTAAGCGTCGCAGTATAGACTGACCAACAGCACTCAATATATACATGGTAATACATATATCTGTATATCCTCATTGGTTAGGCTCCTTGGTTCAACGTATGTGTTGCCTACGCCAACGTCATGCGTTGACGCCTCACAGCTCGACCCGCCGCGAATCGAACGACAACTGGCGTGCTCCAAATCTAAATGGGACAAATAAACACTTGATGGGATCAGACACACTGCATGGCGAGGATGAAGTCGAGCTAAAGGCCTGCTGAGAGACCTGTACCGTCCAGAAAAACTCACATCAGGCAACAGACTGCCTATTCACGATGTTCAATGCCAGGAAGCTATAGATTAGCAGAAACATCAAGTATATTATTGAACACAAAAGCTGTATATTAGCTACAAAAACTGCTCATGTCAAAAACTCATACACGCTATACCTTTCCATTCCCACACCCCCTCCGAACCCACTCCAAGCCATCCAGACTCCCGTGCTTTGCGCGAAAGTCGTCAGCCAAATAATTGTCCCGCGGCGCAAAGACGCCTTTGGTCGCGGCCTTGGGCATTGCGCCCGCCGCCGCCTTCACATACGTCGAATTCAGATCCAGAAGCGACGTCGGCTGCATGGCTTCGGGGTTCTGCACCCTTGGCACCATGCTCGTGCTGCCGTTTTGCTCAAGAGTCCGAAACAGCCGCACGACCAAGGTAGCAGTCGCGTCGGCACCCAGGGTCCAGGAAGCGTTCGTGTACCCCATGACGAAGAAGGCATTGGGGACATCCTGCAACATGGCGCCCCTCCACATGAACTTGTCCGCCGGGGCCCCCGGCTCGCCGTCCACGTCTAGCGTCGCGCCGCCGCCGAGCTGGACTTTTAGGCCTGTCGCTGTGACGATGATGTCGGCGTCTAGGAAGCCGCCCGAGTTGAGTTGGATGCCAGCAGACGTGACGGACTTGATGGTGCCAGTGACCACGTCGGCGTGTCCCGTGTGCAGGGCCTTGTAGAAGTCGCCGTCTGGGCAGACACATAGCCGCTGCGCCCAAGGGTCGTACTTGGGGTTGAAGTGAGGGTCAAAGGACATGGTGGTCGGTAGGAGGCGCAGGGTCCCGCGTCTAAACAGCCATCTTGCGGCCGAGGGGAAGGATCTGCAGAACAGGAAGAAGAGGCGGGACGTGATGATCCAGCGCAACCGTTTCAGCCGCAGCGCGACGGCGCGGGGAAGAATATAGTCGACCAAGGAGCTTGCTGAGCGGTTGGGCAGCGCGACAATGTACGTCGGGCTTCGCTGGAGCATGGTTGCCAGCCTGGCCTTTTCGGCGAGTTTGGGTAGGAGGGTGACGGCGGTGGCGCCTGAGCCGATGACGACGACCTTTTTGCCGGCGTAGTCCAGCTTGTCGGGCCAGAACTGGGGATGGACCACTTGTCCTGCGAAGCTGTCGAGGCCGGGAATGTGGGTTTGCAGCGGCGTGCCGTAGTCGTAGTATCCGGTGCCAAAGACGACAAACCGAGACGAGATGGAGGTGGCTTTGTTGCCTCGGGCTACTGACAGTGTCCATTCTTGGTATTCTGTAGACCACGAGGCATGTTGCAGTTTGTGCCTGAACCGAATGTTTTTGTCTATGCCGTACTTTGACGACGCCTCGGCGAGGTACTCCAGGATGGACTCGCCAGTGGCGATGGGATTGTTCCGATTCCACGGGTACCACTGGAAGCCAAACGTGAACAGGTCCGAGTCGGACCGGATCCCGGGGTACTTGAAGAGATGCCACGTTCCGCCGATGGCGTCTCGCGCTTCGAGGATGCAATATTTGCAGCTGGGAAAGTTGGACTGGATGCGGTACGCAGTGTTGATGCCTGATATGCCGGCACCGATGATGACGACGTCAAAATCTGGAGCGCTGGCCATCATGTATTGTCTTGTACCAGGACACGAGTCGCGGAATGCTCACGATGGATGGCAATTATAGGTGCAGGATCCGTCTCTTATCAAACCCCGGCTGGCCCACAGGGTCGGAAAGGATCCGGCGCAACTCCTCAAGACACCGCTGACGGGTCGTGGATAGAGCAGGTCAGGTAGGCGAGCAATGGTCGGGTGGTGTGCATTCTCAATGCCGAGGCACTCCCGGCCCCAGTCGGCAACGCACATACCCATGTATTAGTTAGTGCAAGGGGCCGTGCTATTCGTGCTACCAACCCTAACTATTCGTGCTAATGCCCCACCTTGATTTTGGGCCTACACCCTGACCTACCACGCCCCGCCATATAATTTCAGTGCAAGTCTTCGAAAGAATTTCCCTCTTCGGCTACAATATGGGCCCAAGGCTGCTAGGTAGTGGAATAATTGGTGGCTGGACATTGGGGTTTTGCTCCGTCTCCGATGGACTTGTGAAAGCCGGGGGCCCGGGACTCGGGACTAACCCGACACGGCCGCCGGGATTGCGTGTCAAGGCCGTAACCACCACAGTGTGGCCGGCACATGTGCTAAATTTCATATCCAGAGCGACGCATATCCGCCAGTGCCTTTTCCATGGCTTGGCCGTCCGCCTTGAACGTCGTGTGTGTCGAGGCTCGCTTTGCATCCACCCACTTCAGCTCATACTGCTGCTCCCAGCGCTCCTTTGTATCCCGTCTGGGGTCCTCGAGTGAATCCGCTTGGGCTGCATACCAGAAAATAATCTTGAAAGCAAGAGTCGTCTCGCACCGATATGTCGTAATACCTATAGGCTCACAATGGTGTGCCCAACCGGTCAGACCGCTGGCACGCTCCGTGTTGGTCCCCTCCTCATCTACATCTTCCCAGACATCTCCTCCTTCTTCATCTTCTCCAGCTGCATCTGCTGCGACTCCCTCCTCATGCACGAGTTGGCCGAGCATTTGCGCCGTTGGCGTTGCGCGGGTCAGGCCCTTTAGGGGGAGAGGAGCGACGTGCAAGCCTGTTTCTTCACGCGCCTCTCGCAGCGCGGCGGCATGGATGTCTTCGCCAATGTTTTTTCGACCTTTGGGAAGCTGGTTGATGCCGGTGGACGGGTCGTGAATGAAGGCAACCTTGCGTAGTGTAGGGTCAATGATTACACATCCGCCGCAAACGAGAGCGCCTTGCGATGGCGTGAATCGTGGAATGAAGTCGCTAGAGGGGAAACTAGACGGTGCCTTGGGCTTGCTAAATACTGCCTTCGCTGATAAAGGCATCGCAGTGTCTATGCAGTCGGGGCGATGGTCGCGAGCTCATGGACCAATAGCGAGAAAACGGCGCCCGGCAAGTGAGTGTCGAGAATGCGAAAAGTCTGGATTACTCTGCCATGGCAAATAGTCTGATATCTGAATCAAGTTATCAAAGCGCAGAGCGACTGGAACTGGGTTGGGCTGGTTGATGTGCCTGGTGTACGTCATTACGTGGACGCTTTCGACAGTGGCTGACGACGATCCACGGGGCGCAATCCTCAATCCTCGGCATGACTTGAGCCTCTCGAGTCTTTGAGCTAGTCACTGCTCTTCTCATCGGCTTGGTGAGTAGTGTTTTTGCGCCGTCTCGATGGAAGAGCAGTGCTGGGGATGAAGACTTTGATTCAAGGAAGTTAGGTTGACCTTGCAACAGATATTCATTTAGTAAGGAAGCAACTTGTTTGTAGCGCCGCCACACTGTAACCTACATTGATAGCAATTATCGCAACTGGGATAGCGATTCCACAACCACACAAATCTTGCTCGACACTCTTGCATGGTGTAGTCATGTTTTTCGTGCGTCCCGTGTCCATGATAATAGTAACGTTGTTGTCATCCCTTACAAGCTCATAGCTGACGTTTAGTAAATACTCTCTGTGCCATGTACACATCAATTCGAACTTGCGTGAGACAGCAAAAGGCTCACTCCGTCCGGCACAGAACGCCGCCGCCCTTCACTCTGCCGACCCAAGTCCAGATTTTTTTGAAGGCTATCTGTCCTTGGCGCCCCTCAAAATATCTAAAGGCATTGAAAATGGGTGTAAAAGGGGTCTCAGCGTCCCAGATGCCGACCTAGGTCGTAACATGGGGTCGACATTCGGAGCCTAGGCACAACAGAAGTAAGCGCCACTTCCTCCGGTGATGAGTCTTTGAGCGTTAACCTTTCGCAAGTGTCTTGGCCAAGCGCTGACTGCAAGGCGCTTAGAGAAGCATTGCCGCGGGCTGAATAACATGGTGCGGGAAGGAGTAGAGAGTCGTTGAAAGAGCGGCGAGTACTTTTACTGGCGAATATCAACAAGTGGCTGGTCAGCAAACTGGACAGGCGGTGCAGACATGTTTGTACTTGGTATTTGTGTAGCCCATTTGGTCTACGCCTACGAGGTGCTAGCACGTAACCCGCATATTCCTTCTCTTCCATGAGTTGTCAAAGTATCGGAATTCGCCCTCGGAGATGAGCGGGTGCACCTGGACTTGCGTCTAGCAGGTGAATGCTACCAACCTGATCCAAATGCATCAAGAGTAAAGTGCTCATGTAAAATAGAGAGACACTACCTTGGAATTTGCGCACCATCCGCCGATTATACAGAATTCAGCCATACACCATCATGTCGCGGCATCTCGACTCACTGACTCCCAAGCATTGAGTAATTACAATTATGAGGATACATTGAATAGCAGGACTGGAAGACAAGTAGGCAACCGACAGCACACATGTCCAAAAGCGGACTCATACATCGCTGTTATATTTGGCCGCAACAGGCAAGTTGGCATAACACAGGCTCCATTTTCAACGCAAGAATCATGCGGTTTATACTTTTCAGGGCCACGACGTCTTACAAGCTGTCCCTGGAGTTACGTACTCAACTTGCGGCATTAAAATTAAATTATTAGACATATTCACGCTTCATCCATCTTAGGGCTCCAACTGCCTCAGCCAATACCATGACCGGCTTTGACTGAGAAAAGCTCGGCTAGATGCATTTCGTGCTGTTCGCTGTTATTTTGCAAAATGCACGCAATGAAGCTCATGTAAGTGCTTTTGATGAGCTAATACTATAAATAGTGGATTTTGCTAATAAATACACAGCTCTGTGACGATCTGAAGCATCCCAATCACTCACATATCACAGCGGTGCTGCTTCGCCCCTAGGAGGCCTAGTAATCGAGCCAGCCTACTTTTTCCAGTCGTTTTGAGGAGACACACGGCATTACCGAGGATGGACAACATGGGCTCGTCTTGCCATGCCAAATTAGCGGCCTAGAAAGAAGAGATGTACGAACGAGAACTGGAGATGCCGGACAGCCTTACAAGTAACGGAATGCTCCACAAACGGGCTGCCAATTGCTATGCAATAAGAGCGCCCTTGTTTTGCGATGTTTGCAATGACTAGTCTGCCCACGGGACGCTCACCTACAGGAAATCACAAATGTGACTACTCCCCAGTCGGCTCAGGAAATACGACTGTTATGGTACACAGCGGTGATGTGTCCGCCTTTGAACCCGAGAAAACAAGAACGAACCATACTCCACGTACGTTTTGCATTTTAAACGGACCCGATTCACCCAAAATAAATATAATAAAACGGTCAACCGTGTCAGAATTTCGGCTCCAATACACGAATGGACAGCTTCGTTTTTGAAAGTAGCTCTACTGAGCATCTGTGTTTATCTTGGTCTAGACTCCACCATGACGCGTGACAGCTCACAATAACCATCGAGTGCTCTTGGAGTAAAGAAGCCATGTCCTGACTCATGGTAAGTCAAACATGTTGAGACAAGCTACATGGCTGTGCGTGCAAGCAAGATCCGTTCCATGCCGCCCGGATGCAGTCTTGTCGTTGCGGGTTTCAGGAAGAGGTGGCAGAGATTCGCGAATCGGGGTCCTTCAAAAAAAAAATTGACCAGAAGCATCTATGTAATTGAAACGATTGGCATACAAGTGTAGATGGATGGATTTCCCCCCGATGGCAACCCAGGCACGACAGTCACTAGAAAAGGGTTATGCAGACTCCCATCATAGTAACATTCGGAGGAAGAAAAGAAATGAAAAGAAATAAGAGCGACAGTGGCGGTGATGTTACATCTTGGGAGTAGGAACGCCACTCTCATAGACTGAGCAGCATAATGTTCGTTCCCAGTGTAGACGAATAATTGAAAAAATTATAGAAAACCAACCAAGGCGTGAAATGACACCTCCGAATGTCGCGACTCGCTGTGGTCCATAAAAGAAAAAAAAAAAAAAAAAAAAAAAAAAGAAGAGGGCCCCAGCGCACGTGGACGTTTTGTTGAGTTTGGAGTTTGGCAAAGGAAGACATGTGGATTGGTACCGTGAACAAGGCCGAAATTGGGTGCATGAAACGATACTGATCCTTTGTCTGAATATAGCACGGCCAATCATGTCTCATATCAACATTGGAGCGTGCAATGGCAATGCGATGGGGTTACAGCCGAACTTCTTCCCCCGAGAAACAGAATTCTCTACTCATAAGCTAGTGTCCGACTTCCTGTAATTTTAACATGTCACTTGGGCATAATTCTAGCGGGAGGCAAAAACTATTCAACCAAACCAGGCACCTGGCCATCTCGGAATATAGTACAATAATCCACAGCAGTATGTCAGTGAATACATATTAAAACGCACATAAATGACGCTACAGGCATGTATACAAGCTGTCTCCGGTAGGAATGGGAATTGGCTCCCACTCATCTATTCTTCCTTGGCCGCCCGCGTTTCCTGGCTACATTTGAGGTGTCTGTTTCTGTATCCCTGCTTTTCTTGGGCCTAGCAGGGGCGGTTGTCCTCTGGGGTTTCGTCTGCACGGCGGAGCGTATGTTTGACCCCTTCTTCTTTCTCGGACGACCCGGCCCTCGCTTCACTCCAGTCTCCGTCTTCCCCTTTACTGGGGGCCGTCCAGGGCCGGGTCTTGCCTTGGAGTTGCGAGTCTCCCTTGACGAGGACTGGGTGACTGGTGTTGCCGGTTTTGGTGCCACTGCGACCTTGGATCTCTTGTTCGGCACCGTTTGTATCGGTGAGGACTCTGCGGGTCGTTTCTTAGCCGCGATCCTGGCACTACGGCGTGGTAGCGGTGGAAGAGATTCGCCCTGCTCTTGAGATTCGTGTACCTGGTCCCGCGGTTGGCGGGGGCGTAGGCCTCGCGTTCGGGATGGAGGGGAAGCAGCGTGTTCCTGTAGCTCGGACACCTCTTCGTTCTCAGCTGGCGGCGGCCGGCCGAGCATGTGCAAAGCCCCGTGTTTCTTGAGAAAGAATTCAGCGGCGGGGTGAAGCCGGGGTTCCTGCCCCTCGGCCCTCATCCTCGCACGGTACGCCTGTCTTTCTTTTTCGACTTGCGCAGCTTCTGCTTGAACGTCGGCCATCATCCCAGGGAAGTTATACCTTGTGTAGTCATGCATTTTAGCCACCCAGAAACCTTGGGGCTGATCCGATCTTGGGAGGTTTATAGTCTCTAGCTCATCAATCTCAGAAGGAGTAAACTCCATCTCCGCCGCCACGTCCAGCGGGTTTTCCTTCATCGGATTGAGGGGTGCCAGATCTTCGGGCTCTGGGGAGGGAGACTCGTGCCGCCACTTCCAGGCCGTGACGCAGTTGCTCTTGTTGAACTCGTCTCGCCAGTCCCCGCGTTCTTTCCACCACTTGATGACTTGGTCCTGGACCGAGTAGGAGTAGCGGCCATGGCCCTCATTGGAGAGGCGCATGTACCTGTGAGCTTCCTCGGCCATCTCGAGCTGAAAGATGAACCAGGGCCGAGAGATTAGGAAAGCCTCTGCTTCGGCGGCAGTAGTGTGATGTCCAGGGTGAGAACGGGGAACCACGGGGGCATACTCACCACGCGCCAGGTTTTGGCGCAGGCGCACAGCGCGTGCAGCGAGCTCGTATTCATAATCGTTCCCGGAGCCAAGGTCGTTGACTGCCATCGCGGGCTCCCACCACCACTTCCAGTCTTGGTACTTGTCGCGAGGCTGCATTTGACGCCCGGCAAACCCCCAGTCTGGATTCCAGACGCCGAGCTTCTCCCAGCGACGTTTGACGTTGTGACGAACAACGACACCCTTGCGCCGACTGAAATTCAGTGTTCTGAACTCTGGGGGCAACGGGCCCTTGGGAATATTTTCTTCAAACCGGCTCTCCTCAAATTTGGCTTCCGCATAATAAAAATCATAAGGACGTAGGTGCTGTCTCAGAGAGCTAGCAATTAGTTTAGCCTCGTAGTCGTCAATGGGACGCTCCATTACGGCCTGTAGCTCCTCTGGAATCTGTCGACACCGTGGCGGTACCATGAAATCTGCCTCGTGATCCGATGACTCGGTCGACGAGACATAGGGCGGGGGGTCATCGCGCTCAAAGCGACGCAGGTGTCGCAAGTGTTCGTTTGAAGCGATTGCCTGGAGAACAGGCATGGCCTGGTTGCTCATAGCCTGATTGAAATGGACCGGGTCTAAAAAGGAAGGCATGGTGTGGTTAGGTGGAAGGGTTGCGAGAAGGGTTGCGAGAAGCAAATGAGCCGTTTCACGCCGTCAAGTTGGGATGGGCATGACGATAAGGCCTTATCAGCGCGCGCGTCAACTGGTGTCTGGTGTGCAGCCCTGGCAGGTGGACAGCCGAGCAGCCCTGACGCGAGCGCATCGCGGGCGGGTAGCTGACCAGAACCGCAATGGTTGATTGGCTGTGACCCTAGAAAAGGGCTCATCAGGCTGCCTTGGCTCGCCTTGACAAGACCTTGCCCTTCCCCTTCTTCTCTCGCCGAGTCGTCCTCCAAGCATCCCCTTATCCTCTTCTCACCATGATGAGAAACCCCACGAAAAAACACTCTTTCGTCTCGTACCAACCAACCGACTCGCCGAGGAAGCCCTCGCTCACCCTGACAATATATTCCAGGACCGCGGGGGAAAACGGCCAGGGCGGTCCGAGAACAGGCATGTCGCTTCAACGAGAGCTCCAAGAAGCCAACATGGCTGAGAAACAAATTGACGAGCAAGGGCAAGGCGTTATCCTCTACAGCCAGGATTACGCCGTCTCCATTGCAAGTTACACTTTTCACTTGATCTGGCGGGGCAACGGCAGTGATGATACTGAGTGTCTGAAAGCCTTTGCTTTTCAAGGGTACCAAGAATCGGTCCACCGGTTAAAGGACGTGAGATCTCGCGACCGGCCGACAGAGTATGACAACTCGGAGGTAAGGTCGTGGCACATAACCAGGCTCGACACCATCAAGGGGACTCGTTTCAGCGATGTCCCGCAACTTCGTAAAGAAATAGGTTCGGGAGCCTTTGGAAAGGTCTATGCAGCAATTGATCGGGTATCAGGCTATGAATTTGCGATTAAAGTGATTCAGCTCCAACACTACCACAATTCCGAGGAAGCACGAGCCTTAGTGCACAGGGAAATCAAGATCCTGGAGAGGTTAAGCCATGTCAGTGACATTGACCCCCCAATCGTCTCGGTTATGCTGACAAGACGCCAAGGAACATATTATCGAATATCTAGGCTACAAAGATTTCCACACTTCCAAGCCCGAGATCTTTATGCCTTTGCGAGAAGGGTCTTTGAGATCGCTTATCACGGACGAAGAAGTTGCCGACTATGGAGGTTTATTCTTCGACGTGGTAACCCAGATACTCAGCGCCCTGGATTACCTGGCGAGTGAGAACCTGGTCCACCGGGACGTGAAGCCCGAAAACGTTCTCTACTACTACACCTCGGGTAAAATCACTGGCAGTGGTTACCATTTTCAGCTGGCTGACTTTGGATTCGCCCATTACCACACTCTGGCTACAAGCGTCTGCGGCACGGGCTGTTACCGGGCTCCTGAGCTGGAGCCTGAAAAGAGCCACGTGTGCGCGCCGCAGAGCCACAAGATGGATGTATGGTCCCTCTTCGCTACCATGGTTGCCGTCGAGTCCAAGTTTGAGAGCTTTCCGATCCGTACCTCTGACTATGGCATTATTCTAAATGCATTGAAGGCGAAAGCCCGAGAATCCCCATTGTACGCGCACATGGGGAGGCTGAATCCAGATTGCCGGGCCTCGGCTGCCCAAATACTCAACGAACACTTCGCAGGCTGGGGATTAACAACACCACAATCGAAAATCCTCCCGATAAAGCCCGAGCTACAAGGGGCTACTCGTCAAGACCTATTGCCAACTGCCGGGCCTAGTGCACCCCGCCAAATGAACAATGGCCACGAGAAACCTCGCCAGCAAGCAGCGGCCACGCCCGATCGCTTAATCACATATCCGCCACGCAACACACGGTCCCGCAAGCAGCGTGCTACACCGGTGCCGGTCCGCGTGAACAAGGATGGTGTTACGAAGCGCCGGGCGAGATGGAACGCTCCCGCCAGAACATCACAGCAACAAAGATTGCTTGTTCAGAAAGAGCCAGAGAAGGATGTTCCGCCTATGCCTGGGGCATTTGTTGACTAGAAGGGTATGCACGAAGCTTCCATCACAGCATGCAAACTAGGCAAGTATTTCAAAGAAATGTCTGGCAATGAGTGTGTTATCAATCGCGTCCTCTATTAAGCAGATTCAAGTTGGAATTATCCCTTGTTTGTGCCTGGTGTAAGGGTATTTCTTCATGGCAAACAGTCTGCCAGAATTGAGAGAATACTGCTTCTCACTAGCAAGATGAAGTTTTCGAGACATGGGATTCGCTTATTTTCTTGTGCTTCCATCACATTCAATAGCCGTGATTCATGAGGTAGGTACCTCGTTAAGGGCCGATGGCACAAGGGAAATGTCAGCATGGGCAAGTTGTTTAGGGAGAGCCATGTACTAATTCCAATTCCGCTGTAGGAAGAATCAACTTGTACCGTAAAGCCAGGTAGTCAACGTTGAATACCTCAGGCGCCTGGTACAGGATGCACTCGGTCAAGCTACTACCAGCTCGCAATGTGCCCATTAATCAATCAAAGCTATCGCCACGACCACAGCTTCCTCAACTGTCAACATTGCATGCTTCAATGTGCCCTTGTTGACACCGGCACACCTCCTGATGATTGTGTACCTGCTGCGAAATATAAAAGAGTCAACTTGGAAGCGACCAGATAATCCCCGGCAAGTTGAACTACCTCCTTTCGTGAATACTTGACCGTTTGCGTCAGTGATAACCTGCCGTGCGGCCGGTTCATGACGTCGTTGGTCTTGACCCATCTGGCGTGTGGTTCCTCTTCGCTTCCATCGCCCTGCATACCTCAATCAGCGGCAATTTGACCAACGCCTACATGCAAGAAGTGTCACGTAAAGAACTTGACTGCATTATGATTCATCAAGTAGGCATTATGGAGTAGTAAGTGTAATTTCACGTTTGTCGATGCCATGTTTCCGTGGTAGGTTGAGCCAAGCCGTGGGCTAGGTGGTGCCCATCGTCGCCCGTTTTCCGCTGCAAGCACCATGGCTAGAGATACTGCTGTCCAAAGCAATCCGCTGACTAATTTTGACATGGAAAACTAATGAATGAGAGTAAACGTCCAGTTTGCCGTTTTGTCACCTATACGTTGTCCGGCCCTCTGCCGCAGCAAGCTGTTCTTTCTACTCTAGCCCAGGAAAAAAAAAGAACAGTAATCATTGCGCCGAGTTCCGATCAAGGTCCTTCACAACTTCGAAATGGAGCAAGTTCTTCCCTCGCCCAAATCTGGGAAGTGTGCTCAACTGAGCCTCCCAGTCCCTAGTCTCGAGAGGTTGACGCTGTACGAGAACAAATGTCGCCTGGTCAACCGAGAGATTGATCAAGGTATAGGCCGATATTTGTGGTACATCTACATCTTGTACAGGCTTAGCTACTTGCTTCATCTTCTATGAGCACAAGCGCTCGGCGTCCTCAGTCCCGTACAGCAAGAGATGGGGTTTAGAGACAGTCAGTCAGGAAACATTTCGACGAGCCTCAAAGCTGGCCTAACTGCGGGGGCCATCTTCTGGGGTTTGGTGTCAGACATTACAGGTCAGCACCTTCTAGTATCTACGTCCTTGTGTCTAACCATCCATTGTCCATGCAAGCACACTGGCCTAACAGTTGACAGTTCAGGTCGCCGCTGGGCATTTAATCTGACCTGCCTCCTCTCATGCACGTTCGGCCTGTCTCTCGGCTTCTGAGGCGTAGAGAACAGCCGATTACAGCTCGTTACAAGTTTTGCTTGTGTTCTTAAATATTAATCTCTTTACCTAATATTAAGCTACGTTATTAAATAGAGTATACATAAATTTCTCAACCCCTATAACAGTTAGTCTAGGTCGCAATTAAGTCCCTTTAAGCAGGCAAGTATTTTTATATGCAAAATACAGTGGCAGGTAGTACTCTATAAGTTTGTGACGGTACAAGACGCCGTACTGTTATGAGAGGGAGTGAGAGGGCTAAAAATCGTCGTCCTTTGACTGCGAGCTCCCCATATTTTGCTGTACAAAGTTAACATATTTACCCAGTCTGGTGTAGATGCCGAACCTATTGGCCCTTGCACAACCTTCGCCAAATGACACAATTCCGACCAAAGTTCCAGTTTCATCAACTATTGGGCCACCACTGTCCCCTTGGCAAGCATCCTTGCCACCTTCCGGTAGACCGGCGCAAAACATATTTTTATTCACCCGTGACCGTCCACTTCTGTCTTGGTTTGCTCTCTGGCACTGATCACGCCTTACTACCGGAACCGCAACTTCTCGCAGTTGCCCAGGGAGATTCTTTGATCCTTCCCTTGTTGCTCCCCTAGAATCACAGTCAGAATTTTTTTTCGATGGGGGCGGACAAAAGATTTTGCTAAAACACATACCAGCCAGCCACGACCAAGTTAGTTCCTTCTGTAGGGTCAGAGTCCTGCTTCGGTAAGGGGGCAAAGCCAAGCGACTGATTGCCGCCTACCGATTTCGCTAGTTTCAAAATGGCAATGTCATTATTGAACCTGTCAGGATCCCACTCGGGGTGAACTATAGCAGAAGCTACAGGAACCACAGTGCCGCCGGATGATGGAGACTGTAGAGTGTGCGTTAGGAACATCTCGCCAAGTTTATTTCGGAAGAACCACACATGTAGTCATAAAGAAAGGAAACTTACTAGTGATCCAGCGCGAATCGTCAACCTTTGAACGTCTCTTGGATCCTGGATACAATGAGCAGCCGTGATGACGGTTTGATCGTCCGCAAGCGAGCCACCGCAAAAGAATCGGCGATTGTTCTGCAGAGCAACAATGAAGGGCGTTTTGGACCCATCAGATCCAGTTCCGCCGACAACATTAATAGAAGAATCTGCCGGGAGTGCCGTCGCCATTTGAACTACCCACGCCGCAACCGCGACCGCAAACACGTTGGACACCATATGAGCGATTGAGAGGATTCGGAATACAATAGTATGGGAAATTAGTGTTCTGCACAACTGCAGGACCGTTTTGGTTACATACTTGGGGCCGATTGGGTTTATATGGAAACCTGCCTCACTTTAAGCCATCAACGATCCATTGTTCATCGCCCGCTGTTTCAGAACTTGGTGACGAAGTTAGATACCTCGGAACGGCAATGGTCCATATCACAGATACGAATCTTGTAAACAAGCTTAAAACTTGCATAGATTATGCAGGGATCTAAGCGCGAAGCCATATTGACAGCCATGCTATATGTAAAACGATAGTTGTGTTAGACTTTTGTGGCACTAGCTCCGCCTCCCCCCTGACTAGCTATACATACCTCTTGTGCCTTGCTTTATTCTGCAGGCTACGTCTATGCTCGTTGCCAAGAGGATCCCTTGTAAGTCTAGGCGGCATCTCGTGACATGTTGCATGTGAATGCACCACTCTGCCACTCCGCTCCTTGGCGCCATGTTGAGCCTCAATTTCGGAATCTTGCCACGTCGATACCCAGCAGAGGGAGGCCTTTGCCCTTGGTTTTGCGCTGGCGTATCGAGGTGGGTAAGCTTGCGTGGAGCTGAAACCTGGGGTTGCCAAGCCTCGTTGCATCACTGAAGGATAGTTGAACATGACATGCGACATGTGGCCTTTGCTGACACGTGTATCGGTGGCCTTGTACCAACGGGCGAGGTCAGCCTAAGTCAATTACCGTCTGCTTGTCATGATTGACAGCTGTGGATTACATGATATTGGAATGGCACCTGATTGAATCCATCAGCCACTGAGATCTCTTTTACATCATTTTGAAGTTTAAGAGTTGAAAATGACACCCTGTTGATAAAAGGCCGAATTGCGGACTCACTCGTTGACACTTTTAAAAAGACAGGGTCCATTAAATGAGTGCGTTGAGCGTATTGAATTTTGGTAAAGCTACGCGTCGTCAAACCGGAGGAATATGAAAATATAGATTAGCATTGCGTCCTTTGCTACTCGGTATTACGAGCTATCTGCCGGTCGAAAGCCCAAGTTATCTCGTACATCAACATGGGCCTGTGCATTTAAATTCTAGTATGTGGCTGTGCGCCTATTGACCTCGCTAGGAGAAGAGTGATTTCGTACGTGCCTAGGGCTTAATCGCGGACATGGTCTACTGTTGACGGGTCTAGTGTTTGAAGCTAGGGACTATTCTCTAGATGACTGCCACGGCCTTTGGAACGGACACACCGATGCACACGCGTCATGAGGCAGCAATTCAGTGTCTCCAAATGAAGATTCAGCTCTTGGCGACGAATATTGTACCGGGTCATTGGTTTCACATCGTCTCCGTCCATAGCTTGGCATACTGATGACTGTCAGCACGTCCAGTGCGCCAAGTTCCGTAGCCGTTCTACAGAAAAAGCAAGCGCATGCACCCTGAGCATCTGGGACGTATAATTTCTGAATTTCCCCGACATCAGGAAATGCCACTAAACGACGACGGGCAAAGCATAGTACGCTGCAAGCTACATTCTCAAACATGGTTATTCAAGCGTGCACCCAGTAAATAGACTAAGAATCGTGTGTTCCAATGCTCGTCATGGCCCTTTAGAGGGTGGTTCGTGGCAAACCAGAAATGAAACGATGGGTATTCCACGCAGTGGCTGAAGCGGCCAAGATGGACGCTCCTAGCAAAGGCGAGAGAACACACTTGACTCAGTACACACACCTGACTTCGAATGCCCGTGCCAGAAAGGAAAAAATCCTGGGCAGCCCACTAGCTTGCAGAGCTTTCATGGTAGCCACGTATAACTAGCATACGAAGATATTTGTAAAGGCGCTAGTCGACGTTGGATAGAGCTAGGCACAACCAAATAAATCGAGCTATTATAAGAGCCTTTGCTAGCTAAGCTGGCAACCTGGTTGAAAAGGAGCCTCTAGCTAGCCCTAATAAAAGTAGCCGGACCGATTTCTCGCTAATAGCTAATAACAGCTGCTAATTTTACGATTTGCAAATTATAGCCATAAATAAGCCGTTGGCCAAGTGCGAGCTCACGATACGCTGGCCGGGGTAGCTGCCGAAAAACGCCGGAAATATAACAATTTGAGCAGCTAATTTCAACCACGAATTATTTTACCTGGTAGGGTTATAGAAGTCACAATTGCTAAATTATAGAAACAGCAGCTAGCAGCTAACCACAATTAAACAGCCTTAGTAATTAAGCTCTAAACAGCCAACAGCTGCTGATAGCTACTAATAATTCCCTTTCTTGGTTATTTAAAAAATCACCTTTTATTTGTATTTAGAGTTAGAAGACGAGTAGGAAAAATAGCCTAGATAGCTAAATAGACCAAACTCTTACCCTAGCCCATTATAAGAGTGACTTGATTAAAGGTGGCTTTATAGTGGTGATTAGCTTGGAAGCGGGAACAGGCCCCGTAGTAGGGCGGTCGGGTTGTGAAAAAAGCTTCGCTTTATTAATTCTCTTTTAGAAACCCAAGACCGTGTAACTAAACTTGGCTAGTCAAGTTATCTAGTAAGAGAGCAAAATTGGGAAGCTAGCTCTTTCAAGTATACCCGCGTCGTTTTTCCAGTATGGGCCGACCTGGTTAAAGGTAAGCGTAACATTATATCCTCCGGGTTGTAGCCTCTTTGGCAGAGCACCTTTGCTAATAGACATAAAGTCACCATTGCTCTCTGCGTTGAAATGCAAAACACCGAACTCAGCACTCCCCAAGGTTCCGTTAATTGTCGCAGGACTTGGGCGTCCACTATACCAAGCCCCTCCCCAGTAATACATGGACTTCTGTTGAAATACTGATAGGCTGGTTCCATTCGCGCTTTGCGGAAAGCAAAACCGAACCTTGGCGTATGTCCACCGGCCCGTACCATACCATGTATACCAGTCGCTGCAGTCATCAATGAGGCTCCCTTCTGGTGTGACATCCAGTGCCGTTTCCAAGTGACCAAACTCGTGGACAAACGCTCTGTAGGTTTGGGGTGAATTACCACAGTCGGTGCCAGCCCCAGCGATAGCGGACCAAAAATTCAAATAACTTAGGACCTTGAGCCACGTATCCCAGCCTTTCCCGCGGCATGCATCTCGGAGACTAGGTGGAAACTGCTTTAGCGCCATGCAAGCTGATTGTATACGTTGGGCTTGGGAGCTATTCAACTAACTCTTTCTCAAATATGTCGTCGATCCTTTGCTTAATCTTTGAATAAAAACGACCTTGTCTCTTAAAGGTATGGTAGCAGAAATCGTGACGCTCACACGAGGGAAAGAAGTCAGCTTGGCCTGTTGGATTATTCGGAGCAGCCGTACAACCGTCGGTGGACCAGTCGAAGTTGGGATTGCGATCTGACGAGTTTTTCGCCGTGGCAAACTCGTCAAGCGAGCTGTGGAAGCAAAGCCTCTCAGTCTCGGCAAGAGCTGCCTTGTCCCAACTTTGGCCTTGGCGCTTCTCCGTGGAGATGGCCGTTGCCGGTGCAGCGAGAGCAACCGCAGCCTTGATCGTAAGTGCAGTGAAATGCATTGTATTATAATAAGTAAAGAAGCCAAGTAGACTACTGTTATTAATATGATTTCAAGTTGGGTTAGGTGCAAGCGAGTTGGGTGGACAATGTGAAGACGGCATTGCGACTACGATTTATACTAATTTGTAGTTATATCAAATAGCATTAATACTATATGGTCTTCAGTAATAAGAAAAAAAAATTTTTCAACTTTTCAGTCCACGCCAACCTTAAAATAGTATTACTCGGGCGACACCAGGCACTATATTAGTTTGTTGGCGGCGCTAGAGGCAGGTTATACGAGGCCTTACGAGGCTTGGCGAGTAGGTCAGCCCATTTACAGCTTCACATATATACTGGGTGTGGTTATATCTCGCCTTTGTCCGCTCTCCCAATAGCTTGGGATTGTACGATTGTGCATTGATCATTTAGATTAATAAAATACTACGCCACTTTTTGTATATTAGAGCTATGAGTTATAAGGGGTAGAATTAGCCGAAGACCGAGAGTCCGCGGGCCAAGAAATTAGCATGGCTTTAATTACGTCGCTTACGCACCGAGATACTTGCTCTTAGTCCCCTAGCTTTATCTTTATACTATTAGGGGGGGTTATAAAACAGGTGACTACGATTGAATGGCGCATCAAGCTTTAGGCCCTCGAGCATTTACATGTGATACACAGCTACGTAGCTGAAACCATAGTCTGAAATTCCTGACAGGAGAGACTTGTTTGGTAACAATAACATCTTCAGTGATACTCTGCGACTTGTGAATGGCAATATCGTAGCAAACAATGAGGGGAAAGTGACTGTGAGTGTAGAGTGTGGCTCCGATAAGGAAGTCCCGGCCTACTAGGAGAATTAGAATAATGTTCCTACTATTAAAAGTGGTTGGCAACACCCGTCTATTATACTTGATGAAAATTTAGCATAATAATACACAAAGGGTCTTAAATAGAGTCTTCACTAGGCTCTCAAGACGTTGTGGTGGCCACGATAGTCGAATTCCTGCCGGGGTTTTTTTTTTCGACCGCCCTCCTATATTAGAGGCCCCACGGGGGGGAAGTATCAGCGAGCAAGTTTCAGTTGTGTGGAAGGTTGAGGCAAGCAATGGCAAGGAGGGGATTTTATCCAGAGAATTACTCTTGTTGTTGTTATCTCTTAGGCGGGGAAGGATAGGCGGCGGTACTCCCCAAAATTTACATCGCGCCTCTAGACCTGGAGTTGGTAGTCCACGTGTAGGTTGGAACTTGGGAAGGGTTGTACGGAGTAGCTAATCTTGATTCCTAACCTTAACCTTAACCTTGAACCTGGCCACCAACCCTAACCCAGGTGGAGCTAATACTAGGTGGGTACTAAAAGTGGAGCTAGTGTGATGTCAGGTTATCTGCCCGACCTTCTGCCAGGTTATGTGACGCCTCGTTCCGCATGTCTGGCACAATTAATCGACTGAGTCCAGTTTGCCCCTAGGCCATGATATTGGGCGTCTTCTCGAGACACAGTATGGGTCAGTTGAATATGCTCCAAAAATGCATCACTAACAGCTGTGCGATTTTGTTGTCGAATGTTGTCGACTTTTTGCCATGGACGCTTGTCGCCGCAATTTTAGAGCTGAATGAATGTTTATGCAAAACTATATTTGCGTGCTGAGCCGGCGGCACGTCCCTTTCTTTCCAGTAGATGAAGGCAGGAAGCAATGACGACGAGACCTGTAAGGAATGTTGCGTTGTGAAAGAACAGCAATCCCCAACTTCAGATGAAAAATAAAATCGCCAGAGGAAACAGGTGATCCCCTATAAACCCTGGACCAAGTGTATCTCCTCAGCCACCGTTGCGGTCCAGCACGAGTAGCCCTTGAAGTAGATATAAATGCCGTGATAATGGCTAGAATTGAGATTGTTAGCCTAACCTTTTTTGTCTGCAGCAGAATTGTGTAGCGGATCGTAACCCAAAAGCTACCATATCATATGTTTTGATATTTAAAATTGATTCTCATGAGACTATATCTTTGCTATCGGCTAATATCCCCGCACGAGTTTATAGCAAAGCAATTCATCTCAAAGCGATACGCCACAGGTCAAAGCATTAAACAACAAACTAGCATCGAGCCTAAATCCAGTCTCGTTCGCACTTGAACGTAACTCTTTAATACTAAATCCACATGTTCCATGGTTTGGTGGCTATCGGCGATTTCTTCTAGATTGCTCCTATGTTTTAAACGAATGTTTCCCATCTATACTATCCGTTAAGCTGTCGTAGTCTTTACAGTCAAAGCCTGCGAGAGCCGCTTTCTTTGTCGCCTACACTTGTTGAAGCTAGCTGCTGAGGCCTAGAGAAGTTGTTTTAGCTTCAGCGCAATGTCATTCAATGAGTAACATAGTAATTCCACGAATAGTAAAGAAACGATTAGAGGAGCATACTGATTCGTTATATGGCCTATAGCTTTTGACCTTTCCGTATATATGAGACATCGGTCCTAGCCTGGCCGTGGTTTAAGTTTCCTAATAACTTTATTATTAGCTGTATAGGTCCTAATCTATAATATGAAAGGCCCTGCTTACATAATAGGGGTACCCTAGAGGTATAGGAGAATAAGGACGATATGAACCTCCGGGATAAGGCGAAACTAACAGACAGTGTTCATCTTTTAACGGATAGCTATTTGTGTTTATAGTTTATTACGTCGTAAGTTGCGATTCTCTGGCTTTGGTACGGCTATTCATATCATTCTTTTAACTGGGCCTTACTTGATGTAGGGCTGCACGAATATTTAAATAGGCCGGAAGGAATTAAAACTTAATAATAAGATTAATATGAAGGATTTATATGCTACGAAATATTACAGGGATAGTCAAGTTGAAACAAAGCCTATTTAATGTCAACATTGATGCTCTGACGGATATCCCCACATTCCTAGCCGCTGCAGCCCCAATCCTAGCACGTCGACGTGTCTTATCACAGATCTGCGAAACCCAGTAGCTCTATACTCACATATCCCTTGCCTGATTCCGTCGGCGGCTTTCACCTCGCTGATAGTAAGGCCTACGGCAGGACTTCAGAGAAAAATTCATCATTTGTTTTATGACGTTCAAAGAGGAAAGTCTAAATATGTTGGACGAGTCTTCAAAACCCTGATCTAGCTTGATTTGTGCAAACATTAGTGGTTTACTTGGATTATCTCCCGAGAACGCGTATTCGGTGATGGTAAATAACAATGTCTTGGACATTGTTTTTTAGAAATCACAGCAGAGTACACAGGAACTTCAGGTGGGAGTAGTGCGTTGCCCTACAATGTAGAGATGTCGCTTAAGAAGTCTAGTAAGGCGCAGGTCTAACCCTGGACGTGATATTGAATCATGGTCAATAAATCCAACAGACTAGTGTCTCAGTTCTCTTTTTGCACCATACATCAGGCGTAGTTACGTGAAAAGAGTCTAGTCTTGGGCGTATAACTCGCTATTTATGCTCTCATAGTCTCTTGACCGTTTTCTTACTATTATTAAGACTATCTGACTCTGTCCTTTCATGGAAAATACGACAATCCCCATTTACGTATTCTATTGCTATTTATCCTTGGTTACGCTCTGCTTTTTTTGGACATACCCGATATTCACCGAATCTTGGGGAGAAAGATATTGCCCGCCAATCAAATAATCTGCCTTTTCAGCCCTTTCAAAGGTATCTAATAGTTCGATATGGCTGTCGTCTCTACTTCTATATAGCCAAATACACATCATCTTCTGAGGGTCTGTCTTTACCTCGTAGTTAAGAAATTTTATCACGTTCACGCCACAGAAACTCAAAAGAGCAGAAGCCAGCACGCTACCATACCAACCCTTAAAACGAGCATTGACATTTGCACCATGCTTGATGCAAACCTTAACACACCTTAGGAAGCCGCTTAACACAGCTCCTGCGACGGCAGTGCCAATGCCGGGGAGGCGATGAGCTGTAAGTGCTACAAGGCTAAGACATGGTTGATATGCGTTGACTAGTGCTTTGCGTAAGCATTCCAATGACTTGAAATTTGTGTTAGTAGCTCCTGCGATGTAAATGGCTTGGTGAATTCTACCACGCCGAGCCAAACGCAAAACTTTCTCCGCGCACCCCAAGAGGGCAGTGGGATTCTTGTATTGTTTTACATGGGCCTCAAGTACTGTTTTGGCCCTTATGCATCGATGAACGAAGCAATCACAGAAAAAAATACCTTGAGAAGAACTTTAAGGCCCGACCAGACAGCTGCAGGACCCGATGGGCCAAACTGAACAGCGATGTTGCCGATGTCACTCATCCAGGAAACGACCCGATTTGCATAGTCTCTCCATATAATTTCCCGATCCCCAATCTTAATCTTGTGTGTTTTGTCTCAAAGTTTTGCTTCCCTCTCTCGTACGATACCAATTAATTCAATGATCTGAATCATGACATCTGCACGACAGAAGTATTTATGAATGCAGGCCTTCGCCTTGTCATCTGTTTTCTCGAGCGCCTCTGCCAGAGTGTCGACTCGGACTTGGGAACCGACTGAACGACTTCGTCGCTCCCGGTAGCGTCTTGTTCACCGTCCGCAATAGATGTGCCACCGGTCGCATCCGGCCCTGTCATGGGTTTCGAGATATTCGTAGGCCCGTGGGATTAAACGTTATCATCGTGCGTTTGGCCGTTGCTGGAAACTTGGGTAGCCGTTTGGCTCGGCAGAGGGCTTGAAGGACCAAATATATGTCTGAATCTGGTCCGGAACTGTGGTGATATGACTGCCAGACGACTGTCGCCTCCTTGCTTCGGCATGCTATGAGAATCAGATTTCACTTGGGTGTGATCAATTTGCTAGTGGTGAAAAGAATTGCGAAAGGACGAGGCAACACGCTGATAAGGGGTAAGACGAAATCTCTCGACGGCCATTCAAGACTGTCCTTTCTGCTTCTTGCGTACACGTAAGTACCTCATATACTGTACATGCTTGGGCGTTCATACAACAGAGGGTGTTGCGGCCCAATATGCAATATGGGTTGATTGCATGGAAGAGGTATGTTCACTGTCAGCAGGATAGGATGTGGTTACACATGCGTGGCCAAACTAAAGACTACAGCGACTGATATTGATAACGTAATATATATGCAAATTCTACACACAAATCCCTACGCAAATGGCATTTCTGTGCGGAGAAAGTGCCGGGAAAAGACCACTGCACCACGCGGAGAGGAGCGTTCCGCCGATACTATCAAAACTTCTGCCCAACTTGAGAATACGACGCCCTACGATAGATATGCCCCGTAGCGATCCCAGGCTACTCCACGGCAGAGCATGCCAGACGACGTGTGCACCATGACAACTCGCTGTGCATTACTACGGAACACGTCCTACGATACAACTGATTGCCCATGAGCCTTCTCCCCAGAACCCTTCTCAGCGGTCTCAATCGATAGGACAGGTGAAGACTCTCCATCCACTTCGTCAAGAAGGGGGCGGACGGCAATGGCGACATTTCCGTCTGCTTGATGCATCCGGCGCTCGTAGTCGTCCATATTCTTGCTCACGAAGATGCTGTCACTCGTGAAGAGCAACGACACTTCCTCCAATGACCTACCGGCAACCTCGAGATAAGTAAGCCATACAATAGGGAAGGCTACTATATTCAAGGCGCCGAAAAACACGTAGGTCGCCCATCCCAGTTTGTCAAGTAGAATGGGAATAACGGATTGGGTCATACCGCAGCCGGTAGCCCACCCGAAAATAGTGAACATATACCCCTTGGCACGGATTTCCTGTGGCCAGATCTCAAGACCGTAGATCCACGAGGGTACAATATCAAACATGCAAAAGAACCTCGTCCACGATTAGCCGTCTAACAATCGATTACCTCTGCGTCGAGGAGGATTGGCAGCTCATCAGAGGTAGACGAAAATAAAAGAGGCTGCTCCTGTGCCATGATTTGCTGACAAGTCTGGATCAGTTGCGGCACGGTCCTCCCATGTTTTGATGAGAGCGGCCACAAGAAAGAGCGAGACGCCTTGAATGACAAACGAAACCAACAACGACTTGACGCGGCCCATTCGATCGATTACGAGTGCCGCAGCTGCAGTTCCCGGCACGCCCAGGGAGTTGACAAGTCCTGCGAGCCAGAGCGACTTGTACGAGTCGAAGCCCACCAGGCTGAAGAGCTTGCCGGCCCATGAGACAATGGCCAAGATGCCTGTCCATTGTTGAATCCATTGCAGTGCAAAGCCCATGACTGCACGTCTGCCCAAATGGAGTTTAGCTGAATGGCGGCCGCCCAAATAATATTGAGAAGGTCGTTTCGTTTGTCATGGGTGGCTTCGACAATGGCGTCTAGCTGCTCGACTTCGGCAATAATTTGGGAGTCGTCGGAAGACAGACCCCGAAGTTTACAGAGAATGCTAATGGCCTCCGTTCGTTTGCCATTTGCTATAAGCCATCTGGGACACAGTTAGGCATTGGACGGTACCGAACTTGAAGACAGCACCTACCGGGGTGACTCTGGCAAGAAAGGAATTGCCATGTCAACAACAACGAGAGGGATGATCATCCACGCAAGCGGGAATCGCCATTGAAAGGACTCGTCAGATTTGCGAACCCCGAAATTGATCCAGTAGGCGATGGTGATGCCGAGAAAATTGGCGACGAAAGACGAGCGAAAAGATGGAGCCACGGTCGTGTGACTGAGACAGCTCACTGACCCAAGGCAGGATAATGGCATTCATGAAGCCGATGCCGATGCCCACAATGACGCGAGCGCAGAGGAACATGTTGGAATTCTGGCTGGCGGCTTGGAGAGCAGCGCCGACGATGCCAAACCACGTCCCTTTTTTGCGGCCGAACTTGTCGCCCACCCATCCTGTTTACGGGCATATGTTAGTTACTTAAGTACTCGACATTTACAATCTGAACGTCTTCATTCTGATGTACACTTGCCTCCGATAAAGCATCCCCACATGCCGCCAAAGTAGTACGCAGTGGCAAGGCCACCTTGTTTGATGCTGTCGGTAGCAACATCATCGTGACCGATTTGGGCCATTTTGATGAAGCCAGGTGTGCTGCTAACAGTGCCATACACGCCTTGGTTGAAGCCTGTTACAAGACGTGTCAGCTGCGGTCTGAATGTGAGAAACAAGTCAAGTCCGAACGGCTCGGTACCCCTAAATATCAAGGCAGCCGCAGACACCAAATTGACGAGGAAGAGCAACACCTTTCCAGGCATGTATTGCCAGATTTGTAGCAAAGCCATGTTGCCGTAAACCAAGAGACAGTATAGGGCCACGCGATTCAGTCACGCCGGGGATGGACCAGATGCTTGCTATACGGATGGCATGATTGTTTGAAGGATTGTCTCGCTTCATTTATACTTGCTTGTGGCCGAGGTTTGTCAGGGGTGAGCATCAGGGAATCGGCCGCAGGATATACATCTATCTGGAGAGGACTGGGTCTGTGCCATTCACGGCGAGAAGCTGCATCGATCGTGTCGTACGACCCGTCATCCACCCGTTCATCGTTCACCAGACGGTTATACGGAGAAACGGTGTGTTGGTGATATGTAGCCTAGAATGCCATGTCTTTTGTATAAATACTCTCTCCTATAAGCGATTGGTGGTGCCAAGGCAAAACCCATGAGCGAAACATGGAGAGACAATATGGGTTCAGTTCACGACGGAGCCATAGGCTCTCAATCCTCACCATTATACCTTGTTGTGTTGGGCCGCAACTCTGGCACCTCCATGGATGGAATCGACTGCGCCTTGTGCCGATTCAAGCAAGCAACACCCGATGCGCCGATGCATTTTGAGCTGCTCAAGTACGATGAAGTGCCGCTGGAGCCAACCATTAAGAAACGCGTCATGGACATGATCCTTCACAAAACGACATCGCCAGAAGAGCTTTCGGAAGTCAACGTTATCTTGGGCAAGGAGTTTGCGCAAGCCGTCAAAATCTTCTCTCAGAGACATCATGTTCCACTCTCCTCAATTGATCATATGTCGTTGGGTCTCATGGCCAAACCATTTGGCTCCTAAGCATGCCGGAAGAGGGACGGGTCAGATCTGCTCTTACCATGGCCGAAGGTTGCTTCTTGGCGTCCATGACGGGTATCACGACGGTCACAGACTTCCGCGTCTCGGACCAAGCCGCCGGGCGCCAAGGAGCTCCTCTTATTGCCTTTTTTGACTCGCTTGTCTTGCATCACCCGACCAAACTTGGGGCGTGCCAAAACATTGGCGGCATTGCCAATGTCTGCTTCATCCCGCCGGACAAGGACGGCAAGCCGAACCCCGACTTTTCGACTTTGACACTGGACCGGGCAACATTTTTATTGACGCCGCAGTCAGGTACTTTACAGATGGCCAAAACGAGTACGACAGGGACGGCCGCATGGGCAAGACTGGCACCGTTGACGATTCATTAACCAAGAGTCGATGAGTGGCGTCTGCGCATGTTACAACGACGGGTCTTTGAGCCTGGCCTGTCTCGTGTTCGGGCCACCAAGTCAAAGTTTCATGGCTGGCTGACCCTGGCATGACTTTCTGATTAGATTCAAACGACTGTACCACGCACCAGCTCGACATCTATTCTCCAGGTCTTGTGTCTCTTGCTTCTTCCCCGTTTCTGTTGCACAGTACACTCGGCTCATGGCACCAAGAGTTACCCAAGGAATGAAATATATATATCTGCAAATCTTGAAATGTCCAGGATGTAACCCGTACCTTTCGACGCAAAAAGCTCTTCATGTGATGGCCTGAGACCCAAGCTTTCCTCATAACTATGGAATTGCACTTGAAAAACTACCAGCGACTCGAGGTGAATAAAGACATGAAGCAATCTCGAAAAGACCACGCGTGTCCCCATCTTTGACTGTTTTACTCACAAGGAGATGATTCATTCCTCCTCCTCCTCTCTAGAAAAAATTCAAGGCCAAGCAACGTTTGCAGTCTACATTTCTTCCATAGGGAGACATAGCACCCTGTGACTAGTACTCAGTGAGGGCTTGGATTAATAACTCAATTCAGCTGTAAGAACAGTCTTTGGTATTGGAGGTCTTTGATTTTCCTCAAGGGCCTGATAGACCAAAGAGCTTCATATACAACAAGTCGGTGAGAGCCTTATGCCCTAGGTCCCGTGATTATAGCCCTCGCGTAACCGTGTGACACATCCTGACACGAATATTCTCTTCTATACTGTGACCGTGGAGTCATAAATGATGAACAGCATTTTGTCTGTTTTACAAGCCCGCTAAAGAGACACAAATCCATCTGCAATATCCCGCGTGACTTTCTTAGACGAAAGTTGTTGCTCCATCCACTAACTTGCGCGTTTAATGAGATGAATGTCCATGTGAACTTTAGCATCAACGACAACTTCTAGTCTTGGTCTTTTCAGCTCTAGAAAACAGATTGTGCTACTGGTCAATATGCGCTTACATGTATTAAGATAGTCGGTTTGATGTGTTTCCTTTTCCCTATTTGGGGTTAGTGATGTCATAAAGCGAGTGTCTTGTGGCAAATCCAACATGACAAGCAAGACGCCGGGTGGCACAATTAGGCATCATACATCCGTACGCCGTGCGGCCCGATGTACACGATACAACCGGAAGATAAACGCCGTGAGCAAGCAAACAATGACGGCAACAGAATCCAATCCCAGGTGCGGGGTCATGCGCCACAGGGCATCGAGCCATCAATTGATCAATCTCGCTCATGTCTGACGGCAATTTACACTGTGTACAGAGCCTTATGGGTGGCGCCAACGATTCAAAACAAAGTCTAGGCCTGTAAAAGCATGACGCCGGGAGCCAAACCCTCGGATCACGCATGCATACATGGGTCTCGGGTCCATCCATCCCAGCAATGCGACTAGCTGGGCCATGTCTCTGGGCCATCTTATTATGGATGGTGACGTGGCTTACCGGAAGATTATTGATGGCTGCAACCGAGGCTGTGGAGGAGTAGCTTCTCCGACATCTGAGCTCTCCAGGCCGGTAGTTAAGCCCAGGAATGCCCTGGCTTGCGGCTGGACCAGTAAGAATACGTGCGAATTGATCATCAGGCACCTCTAGTGTCCACCGCATGGCAACTCGGGCAGCTTGGGCACCACATTACGAAGCTCTCTCTATTTTGGCGAGGGTCTGTGTCTCTCACTTGAGGTCGGAGGGTCTGGTTCAGGCTGTGATTCGGGGAAAAGAGACATAAAATTTCTAGAATGATTTCTATGACTATGGTGTGAGGTGTCATGGGCAGTTGTGTTGAGAAATGCCGCTCAGAGCCAAGGTCGTCACTCCTGACTGCTCCAAACAGTCTCAGCTACAACCCGTGCGTTGTATTGACAGGTTGACGGGGATTTTCAAAGGTCCAAGGACACTTATCCTATCGTTCCCTGCATCGTAATAGCGCGTTAACCGTCCATGCCAGCGTGATTGCTAGCACATTCACCCATGCTCGAGAGCCAGGAGGGACAGCCGGCCCATATGCATGGTACATACCAGCCGCGCCCAAACCAGCGGGGGAGACAAGTATCCCGCCCCGGAAGCTACCTAACTAGGTAGTCCGTCGACCTCATGTTAGTAGTGTCGACTTCTTGTGGGGGAGGGGGGTTAGGAATGAGACATGGAGTGATGAGAAGATGACGTTGAACGCACACTGCGGGATTGGGCACCGAGTCCATGTACTCGGGCGGCGGAGCAGAGGACGCCTCGCATATTACTCCCGTCAAATCCCAGAGACACCCAAAATAAAAAGCAAAAAAGGGGAAAAAAAGAAAGGAAAGGGGTTTGGAATTCGAACCGTAACTACCCAACCCCTCCCCGGCCGTCTTTACACCACTGCAAGGATCCGAAGTAGCTTGTTCGCTGGCAAGAAGACATCACAATTGTGATTGGGGTTGATGCGCTCGGCATGATTCATTCTCGATAAAAAGGGCTTTCGATCCTCAATAGCCTTCTCATTGGCCACCCGAGTTCCGGCGAAGACTTTGACAACATGATAACTGACCCCTCAAACAATTTTTACAGAGGTGCGCATATGGAGGATCAAAACAATGGGCAAAGCGGCAGAGATTTGTTGGAAAATTTCCAAAAAAGCTATAGGGCAAGAATTGTAGACGCCTACATGTGTTTACCGTAGCTATTGAAATGTTACATATTTCTTCCAACAAGATGATACGGAGCAGCGGATGACGGACTGCCCCTTCTGGTTCGGCACGAAGACGAATATTGTTTCAAACAGATCAAATTAACGAGATCCGCGCATTCATCCAGTCGGATGCAAGCGAGCCTAGTTGTGCGGTTAGAAATGCTTCGCCATCTGAGTGGTGAACCGGCCACCAATAACACCATGGCATCGATATCTTGCTTGGATTTTACGTCTTCCGGTTGAAAATAACAAAGGAAAAATTAAAGCACATTCTTTGATTTGTACAGCGTCTACATATCGTTCCGGCGCACTAGCGCATAGTATGACTTGGAAGGTTTGCCACTCTCATCTGTGAGGTATACAGTATTCACTCCTCAGAAGTACCTAGTCACATCTGAAACTTGCAAGTGAGTAAATAGTTCAATCATGAGAACTCGGTAGTTCAAATGAGTGGCATGCTCCCCGAATTTACCACTAAACCAGCCTGACCAGCTACCTTGTTGCAGATCTCATAAGCTCCTTCCTCGTTCATGTCCGTCCTCATTGCCAGAAGAATATCTACTTTCCCCAAGAAACACCAGTGATGATCAGTTCATGCCCCCCCCCTTTTGCTCAAGGAAAAAAAAAAAAAAACGACGGTCGATGATGCCAAGCGCTTCATAATACAAACTACATGATGGCGATTTTTATTTTTTTGCTATTCCGACTCAAAGTAGCCATATCGCTCCAAAGACGATCATCTTGAAACCCGGTGCAGCTATTTCGCTTTCACTTCATGGGGGTACGGTTTCCTGCCCCAAACAACGAACGTCGGCATATACGCGTGAGTTGATGTGTTGCAAAGGTCCCGACGAACGTCGACGAGGGATGCCTACACATGGTCCTTTTGTCGGCTCCGATTCAAGTAAATTACCATGTGCCAACTCACTTCAATTTCCTCGGCCGAACGATTAAAACCGTGATGAAGCAGCTGGTATGAAAAGGCAGACAGCCCTTCCACAAGGTTGTGGCCCCATAGCAGCCCTATCTGCTTCAGATATCGGTTCTTGGGCCAAGAGTTGAGGGGCATTTTATAAACGCGCTGCTGCACATCCACAAAGCCCACATTCTCGTATGCCCTCTTCAGAATAGGCCCCAAGAGTGTAGGGCGACCCATCCTGTCTGCGGCGAGAATCAGGTCGCTGATCCACGAGACTATCGGTCCGCAGGGATTCAAAGTGCCGTCGTCGCACGAGATATTACAATCAACCTCTTGGGATTCGAACCAGCCGCCCGGTTCAAGGGCGTCGAAAGCCTGAGCGGCAATCTGTTTCTCGAAATCTTCCCAACAGCCGCCAGTGAGCCGAGTATGTATGAAGTTGAACTTGTGGGGGAAGTCCCATGGCTCAGTCCTACATGGATGAATGTTATTACTAGTGACGAGAAGAAAAAACGACGGCATATTTACAAATGCAAAGACGAGCACGCATATCAATGTGACGTGGGAAAGAACCAAGACCTACGCATCTTCGACATAGAACCGGACATTGGAAGGCACGTAATTCGGCTGGATTGGTGATAGATCCGTGGCGATGATCCGTGAGTCGGGGAACTCATCAGCCATCTCAATAGCCCAGTCGCCAATTCCCGTTGCGATGTCGAGGATAAAGTGTGGATAGTTTTCGACAGAAATGGGAGCAAAGTGCAATTTGCCTCCCATGAGCTTCTGCATAATGGGGCCCTGCAGGGCTAGCCGCTCTTGTTCCTTCTCGTCGTTTGGAAAAACATATGCTTCAAGCGTCTCATCAGCAAACAGACTGGTAGAAATTTGTGCAGAGGTGTGCGGAGGAGCTCATACATCCAGCATGGAAGGCGTGGTAGGTGCGGCCAAACAACTTGGGGTATTCCAAAACGCTATCAGTAAGGGACACGTCTGAAAACGAACTGACTTCGCTGCTGAAGATGGATACTGGTTGGTATTAGAATGCTTTTGCAAAGGTGTCCTTTTCCCATGGCAGCTCGGGCGGGGGAGAGTTCTCACCTTTCACCAGACTGTTGTTATGCGATGCCAGTCGCCATCACGTCAGCGTAAAAGCCTCCTGATCTGGACTCAGATGGTAGCGTACATCAGGTTCGATCATCAACATGGACGACTCAAAGGTGAACTCGAAATCACACAGCGGATGGAGCGCCTTGTCATGTTGCCCGATGCCGTCTTCCATGACGGCATCCGACTCATCTGCTCGCGGGGTTGGCATGGCCAACGAGGGTCGTATCGGTGTCGATATTCGGAGTTAGTCGGTCTGCAGGCTCGATGTCTTGGGTTAAAAATAACAGGAGAAGGGTTCACAGGGGAGAGGATGAAAGACACTCTACACTGCCCAGGCAGCAAGCAAGTTTGGCCAAGTTGAAGAGCGGCCACATACATGCTCGGAGGGGATTGCAGAAAGATGGGCGCAGTTGTGGCGCCAGCCTTTTCCTGCTCACATATTGTACACAGTATATTTGCTTTTTCCTTGACCGCGTTTCCTTCATTGGCCCAGACACAGATACCATGAGCTGTGTATTTCTTCCGGCCTTGTACACACGCCTTCGTCAGTTCCGCCGCGCCCAGGCTGAGCCCGATCAAGCCCATGCGCTGGCGCGAGCCAGACGCAATCGTGAATTATTGCTAGGCAAAAAAAAACATCAGTGGAACTTTGGCAAGGCAGTACGTGGCCATTATGGCTCCAAGGGTGTCGGCCAGGAATGAATTGGTGTCTCGTCGGCTGGTGAGACAAAGATCCGCATTCTGCCATCGTCGGCCCGTGACTCCATGACTCCGTCAATGCAAAGATAAATGACAGTACATGACTCTGTACCGCCTTTTGTTTTGTTTTTGACCAAAAAGGATCCCAATGAGCAGCGTGGCCACCTATGCTCTTTACACCGAGGCCGTTCTCAACGCCCGCCTAGACGGCTATTATCAAGTTCTTTGACACAGACTGTAAGTTATATTCTTTGACGTGTCATCAGGGTGTGAGACGCACTTCACGTATTCCCTATTCCGTCATGCTGCCGCAGAGTCAATCTATTGGCCCCCCCTTCCCCAGCCTTAACTGATCCATCCCTGGCTATAGCCGATGCCCCCTTTCACTCCCCTAATCCCTAATCCGCATAGGCTGCGGTACCTCCGCTATTCCTCTGATGGCACGCATACTCATCTGTTAGTTCAGTGTTTATGGCGTGCGATATCCGCCCCTTGCTGCGGAGCTGGACATGCAGGACTTGTGCATACCGCGACGTCACACACCGGTACGGACTGCCCGGGTTGAAGGACACCTCGTAGCTCAGGGCGTTGTATACCTCAACCCAGGTCCTCCAGTCGACGTCGGCTCCGCGTACGCCAAGCGGCGCAGAGGCAGCTACGGCGTTGCTCATGTGGTAGTGCATCTTGACGCTGTCGGCAAACGTCCTGTTGGAAACGGCCGCCCACATGCGCATGAGATTCTGCATCTCGGGGTGGACGTCGGGGGACGCGGCCAGCGTGACGAGATCACGGCATGTACGCCCGATGATGGATTCCACCAGCCTCGTCCTGGCCTCCTTGACTCGCACAACATCCGTCGTCCAGTACGGCGTCCCGTCCGCCAGCCACGGCTCTCTGCTGTGGTAGCTGAGAGGCTCATGGCCGTCTCCGCGCGCCGTCAACAGCCCCCATCGGGCGACGGTAACATAGTACAGCTCGCTGACCAGGAACCAGACGTAGCCAAAGCCGTGCATCCGGTCGCCGCACTCACACTCGGCCAGCCGCCTGCCGATGTCGTGACACCAGTCGGCCATGTGGCAGAGCGCTTCCCTGGTGTAGAGCCTGCACACGTTTCCGCCCTCGCCCCCGGCAGTGTCCTCGATCAGGTCCCAGAAGTCGTGGAACGTGGCGACGCTGTCGAGGGCCTGACGCACGTAGACACAGGTACTGTCGTACCAGCCCTTGTACGTCCCTCCGCCGACCTGGCACCGGAGGGCCAAGTCGATGAACTGGGGGAGCGCGCCGTCAATCCACCGCGCGTCAAGGAGCTCCTCGGGCGAAGGCAACGGGCCCCGTTCGTAGTTGTCAATCAGTCTCTGCACAATCACGTCGGCAGTGCACATGGACGACTCAATGTTGTAGTGGACGGCTCTGGGGTTCACGAAGCTGTTGACGACGGCATCGGCCCAGCCATGGGTCGCTGCCGTCTTGTCGGCGCCGAACTTGTCCGCGTAGTCGGCCATGGTGAATGCATAACTGCCCATCATCATGTCGAAGCAGTCGTACCTCAGCCGGCCGGCCACTATACACATGTTGTAGAAGCACGGGGAGACATCCCCGGCCCGCAAGAAGTCGGGCACGAGGCGCGGCTGTGCCATGGATATGGCCTCGGCGCGGTGTCTCTTGGTGTTCTTCACCTCGACCCCATTGAGATAGACGCACCCTGGCTCGCCCAGTTGCAGGTTTGGGACAACCACCTCGGAGGCAAAGGTGAAGGAACGCGGCGGCGGTACAGCCACCGGGCCCCCCGTGTAGAGGCTGTATTCCGTGACACTGATGGACGTGGAGGCCAGGGGGGATATTTGCGCGGCGCGAGCCAGGGCGCTTACTGTTTGGCTGCAGTCATATAGCCGCTCGTTGCCCTTGAACATGCACAGGAATTGTTTCCCCAAGTCCCCGGCCCCGTTCAACGTGTACTTTGGGTGTCGCAGCAGCCCGTGTTCGTAGTGAGCAAAGCCGGCAGCAACACCCCAGTCGTCGGCGTTGGACTCGTCAACCTCGGCCTGGCACATGGCATCCCTTCTCGCATATGCTGCTTCGTCGAAGATGTGGTCCCAGGTAGCAGTGGTCCTCCACAGCACGCTGCCATGCTCGGCATACTCCTCATAGTCGTACAGGCTGTCGCAGCAAAACGGCATGACGTCGTCTCCAAGGCCGCCAGACCTGACCATCAGCTGCTTCGACGGACCTCGGCCTTTGGAAGCCACGTCCGTGTCGGTGCTGCGAGCCACCCATCGTGGTTGTCGATTCTTGGTCTCGGCAGTCGACTCCAACTCTGAATCGGCCTCACGCTTTGGGGCATCTGCAAGCATGTCCGTCATGAGCGACATCTGGTCCCATGCCAGAATGTCAATGCCGGCGTCGTCCTTGCCTGCGAGGCTGTGGGCAGTGAGGAGGCGCGCGAATTCTCGCTCGGCGTCGGTCCTGATCTCCGGCTCTCTCTGCCGCCGTCCCAGCCGCCGGGCAATCCTCCTCATGCCCTTGTTCGTGCTCCAGCAGCTGCCATAGTGTCTTGCCACGTAGGCGCTGAGTAGCCGCTGCCGCCTCCCATACAAGGCCGCCAGTTGCTTCTGCTCCATCTGAGGTACCGTGTTGCCCCCAGCATGCTGCCTCTCTTTACGAGCATTGTGCAAAGAGTGAGGGTCGTCAAGTTCAAGAGTATCCATGCTTGCTCGAGGTAGATGACATTAAGATAAAGTGGTGAGGGGTGAATCCTGGTATGGAGGCTGTGTTGTTTCCCCCCCATGACTGCCATGGCTCGATGGCAGGAGAGGGTGAGGCTATTTATGCACTCCATGTTTGCCTCCAACCAGTCGCATCAAGACTCCATGATTCGTCGACCCTGGAGCTCATCGGCGGCCGGATCCGAAATTGGATCACGGGCACGCTCTTTACACCCGAAGACACCATCACGCCTTGATTGACCTGGGAGGCGGGCCGACTCCTGTCTCGCCGTTGGGCCGCGACCGAGGCCGAGTTGACGCCTGTTGCTGGAGTTGTTCGCGATCTATCATCTGCCGTCGTGACATTGAGAACAAATGGGCCAACAACACGGGTTTAGCGCAATGAAAGAAAAGCAAAAAAACAATGGACAGAAAAAGAAAAACAAGACAGCTATACCGAGGTCAGTCACGTCCAGCACAAAAAAAAAGTGGAAATGATGAAGACGGAGAAGCAACAGTACATAGGCATCGGAGCACGTCTCAAGTGGCGCAATTTCGTGTCGCACAGCGGCCTGCTCCCTTGTCGATCATCCACTCCCTCGGGAACGCCAAGAAGTGCGTAATTTGGTCGTTTGGTGCCACATGCTCCTACACATATACGTGAACTGCTTGTGTGTGGGCGACTGTTGCTCGCGGCGGATGGTGATTCAGATGGCCGTCATTGCTCGACTTCGCGCAGAGTACCTGTGGCCAATTGCTTGCCTTGACGTATGGAAGCAGCATCTGGTGAATGAGGCCCTTGACTCTGTTTCGTACCCGGGGCTATCACGAGGCGGACCGTCTGACCCCCCTTTAACCTCTGGCACCCAAGTATGAGTGTAAGTTGGCCCATGTCATGGATTTCCGTCCTGCGTCCTGCCATCAAGAAGCCGTCACATGTAGTCTTGGCTTCAGCACTCTGCATATTTTGAACATTGTGGTGCAAAGATTTGCGGATTGTGTACTTGTCATTGTTGTTGCTATGGCCTCCGTCACAGGTTCCCTAGTATGTAATTACCATGTTGAAGAATAAAAGATTGGAATCTAAAGATGCTGCTCCTTCATTGCTCTCATAATTCTCTGGCCCTCGTACTTGATATTTTGAAAACCTACTTGAGGAATCTACACTCTGTCCGCCTCTCTCTCATGCTCTTCGACGTGGCACTCAAAGCTACCTAACCGCTTCGAGCGAGTTTTCTCCAACGTGCAGAAGCCAATCCAATCTAATGGTGAATATAGACCCTGAACGTGTCATTCGGCAGCCATCTTTCAATCGGCAGGCCTCAACCTCGGTACGGGCTGGCGGTAAGCGAGGTGCTGGGATTGACCGCCAGCCGGTAAAAAAGGACCGTCTCGCCATATCAGCCCATTTGAAGCTCTCGTGAGCAGATGATCCTTCCCGCTCCGGCGCACACCGTCGATCTTGTCGTGTCTCCAAGCAGCTAGCTGCGGGACGCCCAATCTCGGTGCGCAACCTTGTACATGTCAAGGTGACGGTAGCAGCACCAGACGTCCGGTCTGACTCTAGATCAACGGCTGGAGATCGCTATCGGCGGGGCGTTAAGCGAGGTGCTGGGATTGACCGCCAGCCGGTAAAAAAGGACCGTCTCGCCATATCAGCCCATTTGAAGCTCTCGTGAGCAGATGATCCTTCCCGCTCCGGCGCACACCGTCGATCTTGTCGTGTCTCCAAGCAGCTAGCTGCGGGACGCCCAATCTCGGTGCGCAACCTTGTACATGTCAAGGTGACGGTAGCAGCACCAGACGTCCGGTCTGACTCTAGATCAACGGCTGGAGATCGCTATCGGCGGCGACGATGTATTCCTGGAGAAGAACTGATCAGCAGTCGGCCGGCGGAAGTTGTTGGGTAGAGTGGCTTATCATGGGGGGGCTATTCCGAATAGTCTTGAGCCTGTCCATTTGCATCGTGACGACTTGCCGCTAATGGCGACACCATGTCCTCCTCAGTGATGGCCATGGCATGGCTTGGCTGCTAGCGAATTCGACCTATCGTTATCGTGCCAACGTCTCGCCCATGTCCAATCAAGACTATAATTCCTTCTACACCAGTAGAGAGATTCATGACGTATCACATGCAGGCGCCATTGCGACTTGCAAATTCAGCCACGTCCTTCTCAGTCACGGGCACCCATGACGGACGTCAAGAACCATGGTCGGTTGCCCGTCAGCGGCGCCCTTGTGCTTTCCATTGACGGAGAAGTGGAATTCCGTCATCTCCTACAACTTTGCTTGTGAGGACGGGCTTTTGCTTGCAAGTGCCGCACCGAGAGGCACCCAGGTCTGATCTGCGATTTCAACATTCTTGCGGCGGATGAGGCAGTTTTGGGCACCTAAAACTGCCATCATCTCCATGGCAAGCTAATCTTCACCAATTATGGTCTTTCAATAGTCTCACAGTGGTGTGATTGCGTGGAAGAGACTGCAGCGAGCTAGTACTACCCCGTAAAAGTGTAGAGGATTGAGGGGATCAAGGGTAGAGTATCGGACAACGAGCAGACATTGGAATCAAAAATCAAAATCTTGATATACACATGACAGTACTGTGGCTTTCTAAACACGTGGATCCATGTAGAAATCTGATCTAAGTAGTCGCTGCATGAGCTTGGCGAGGTCGTGAATAGGCGCGAATCATATGGCCGAACAAGGTAAGGCCTCCTCAGTTCCATGGCTAGCATGTCAATAAAGGTCGAGAGCATAGGTATCCCAGATGGCTACAGAAAGGTTAGCACTTTATTGAGTTGAAAAAATTCACCAGCCTGGACTTGCAGGACATAGTGTTACGGTGCCGGGCAGCCAAGACGATACTGGCAATTATGCCAATACCATCGAGTACAATAGATGCAAAAGAATATCAATTTCCCTATACGAGCCCCAACCGTTGATTCATTATCTAGCATGTCTCTTGGGCATGTGCGTGGCCTTCTCAGTGGTCAGGCTACCATGCAGTAGTCTGAACTACGAGAATCATGTCAACACTAAGCTCCGGCGTGAGATGACTGTTCGACGACTGAAACTGAAAAGGCCGTATTGAAATTTATAAGCTAAACGCGTCGTACATGAACTTGGTCTGCACCAATTGTGATTTACTCAGCGTGTCTCTAATCCATCATGTGATGCTCTTTACACACCACTATTATCCCACGTCGATGGTAAAAACGTGGTAGTCCTACATGGAATAAAAATACCACCGTCAGAGACTTGGGAATGGTTCCAGTCTGCTGTGCAAGAGGACCGATTCACCGAGTAATTACCCTGCGTGCTACCCACTTCCATATTAAGAGGACACTGTTGGGCGCCAGAACCAAGACTGCATGGTTTGAACAGCTCATCTCGTTACTGTACCGGAATTCCAGGATTTCCAGGTCAAGAATACCTCAGAATCCACGTAGCCCCCGTCTCTCCCACTCCCGAGCTTCTTTCAGATGGAAATGTCCCATATCATAGCTAGTGCTCATCACAGTGTAGGACTAGTATTTGCCCCTGACAACGTACAAAACCGAATGAACGTAAAAGATGGCCACAAAAAGGCTATCCAAGGTCAATATATATCAGCGGTTCTCCAAAGGTACATCATGTCAACAAATAAGCAACATCACTTGTCAATAGTTCACGGTGCATTTGATTTGTTCTATACAAATCAATGACCAAGTAAGAACTGACTTGACACGAAACACTACCCGGATGCATCCAACCCCGAGTTTCATTTATTGCGAAATACTTTCCCATCCACGTAATGTGCCAACTCTGCGACAGGCTCCAGCTGGTCCTGCCCAGCCCCAGAATCCATGGCCTTTTTCATCACTCGTCTGTAGTTCTTCCCTGGGCTCACTTTACCCAGCACACACGGCTGTCTGGTTGCTGCCCTGTCAGGCACCGGGATACTGCGCCCAACAATCGCCTCCATTCCCTGCCAAGCAAACGTGATGGCTTCTTTGGCATCAGCAGGAACACCCGCCTCGTCTAGCATCAGAATTCTGGTTCCAGGAAACGCAGCCTGCAAATAGTCGGTAATGTTGGGGTTCTTGGCACCTCCGCCACACATGTAAATCTCAGAGAGCGGGCCGTATTCAGTCGGCATGTAGCGCTTGTAGTGTCCCACGATGGCTTTGGCCGTGGTCCTAGTCCTGGTGGCGACAATGTCGTTGGGGGAGAGCCCCTTTTCAAGACCTTGTTTGATCAAGTCATGGGCAGTCGTGTCGCGGAACATCTCGCGGCCTGTTGTCTTGGGGGGCGCGAGAGAGAAGTAGGCAAATGGCGAGAGCAAGTTGTCCACCATTTGCCGATGACAGTACAGCATAGCCGACATTTTTGCTCACAATTCTCCTCTTGATGTTATTCCCCTCGGTGTTGTTCGCGTCAGACCGGTTTGAGGTGCTCGGTGGGCGGTTTGTCCCAGGCAAAGCAGACAAACATGCGAGAAATAGCGTGTATGCCTATTTAGTAGACCTTGACCCGAGGATTTGAAGTTTATAGAGCAACATAGCTCACTTTTGACAGACCTTTCCTGCCATGGGGAACCTCAAGTACAATAGAACCCAGAGCTGTACAGAGAAAAGCATACATGCTTGCGTCTATTCTGTAGTGTCGAAAGGTATACTAGCACAAGAATTTATAAATCTTTTTCCACCTTGGCCACATGGCCCGTTGTTCTCTCTCTAGAGACTCGAGAAGAAGAACATTATAGTCCCGCCGCCCCGTAACAAGGTCAACCTCCCCAGGCCGCACGTATCTAGTCCCGTGAATGACCTTGTGGACCACAAAAAAGATGAGCATCAAGACACCACTCAACAGTTTTAGTACCGCATTCCTTGCCAACTCCACGTTGGCCATTGTCTGATAATCAATTGGAACAATCGCAACCCAAATCTGCACGAGAATAATCGTGGCGTTCACAAACAGGCCGAGATACGAACCTGCCACGCCGACAGAAGAGCGGTATGGAAGTTCATATATGCCGCGTCGTTGCGAAAGCCATGCAGAGCGAAATCGAATGTGGCAAAGACAAATTGTCCCCCAGGTGAAAACGCTAGACAGCGCTCCAATGCCCACTAGCCATTCCAAGACTTTGTCTCGTTCTTCAAGGTCAGCAAGGTAGGCGAGGAGGCCGACGGCCGCCGCCACGCATATCGCCATAAGCGGGCGACCTCGCCTGTCCACATATGCCAACAACTTGGGGGCTTGTCTGAGTGCACCCAATGCCGCGAGTGTTCGAGAAGAGCCGAAGACGGCCGAGTTGGCCACGGACAAAACAGAGACGAGAATGACGGCATTAATTATCGACGGCAAAACCTGTACACCCGCTTCCTGGAAGGCGATGACCAGGGGCGACGCATTTGCATCTGATTCATTCATTCCATCTATAAGCCGCGGATCGTCATTCCGTACGACAAGCCCGATGAGTAGGACAATGCTGAGGTAGAAGAGACATATTCTCCAAAACACCTGCTTGATGGCCATGGGGAGAGATTTCCGGGGGTTGGCGGTCTCCGCTGCCGCGAGACCTATCAACTCGGTCCCGCTGAATGCAAACACGGCGTTGAGGAGGACGCTGCAAAAGCCTTTGAAGCCGTGTTTGAAGGCCCCAGGGTTTCTCCAGTACTCAAATCCAATGTATCCCCGTTCTGGAGTGCCCGCGCAGTTGAGAATGATGCCAAACAAGCTGCAGAGCCATTAGCAGACGGGTTCCAGGTCGACTGCGGTGGGGAGAAGTTTTTACATGAAGCCAATTGCAGCAGTAATCTTGATGATGGCGAATATGAACTCTGCTTCTCCGTATCCTTTGACCCCAAGCATGTTGATTGCAATAATCAAACCAACAAAAAGTGTCACGAATATTGCCCGCGGCAAGGACGTGTTCCAGTAAGCGATGACCTCGGTAGCAGCAACCACCTCCACCGGCAAGGAAACTAGCCATTGTAGAGCATAGCTGCCGCGGTCAGGATTTCAGCAAACACGTCTGGGAGCTTGGACTTGGGGCGTTGTGGACTCAGACTTACTTCCAACCGAGGGCGAAACCCCACGATGCGTCCAAGAAGCGCGTTGCCCACGACGAGAATGATCCTGCTATGGGGAACACGACGGCCAGTTCTCCGAGAGCCTGGCAAGTGCAATACATGGAAATCCCTGCGGTTGCAAACGCCAGCAACAGCGACGCCGGGCCGCTTTGTGCCAATGACGCGCCGCTCGTCACGAAAAGACCAGTTCCTGGGATACATGCACATGTGAGCCACGAGACAAGACCATGCGAGTACAGTGAGACATACCTATCGATCCGCTTATCGCGATCATCTGTAAATGCCGGCCCTTCAAGCGTCTGGCGAGACCAGACTGGGCCATCTCCAGCTCCGCAAAATGCCCGTTGTAGTCACGTTGGGTGTGATGCGTCCGCGAGTTTGCCGGGCTGAGGTGGTGTTCCGGAAAGAACCTATCCGACTCGTTTCGTTTGAAGTCGTCGAAAAAACGCTTTGCGCGTCGCGGCTTCCGTTGCTCGCCCATTATAGGCACATGGCCAACCTCGTCCACTTCCAAGGACGATTCAAGATCCGTGCTGAGACTCGGGCTCGGGCTCTTGCGAGGCCCTGGGAGGAATCGCAGCATGGTGTCGAACGAGTTGGACGCATCCCATGCCAGCACGTGTGATTTCCCTGGAGTCCTGGACGCGTGGAGTCGCTGATGATGGATCTCGGTTGCTGGAGGCAGACGGCAGCATCTTTCGGCGCGCAGCTCCCCTTTTGTGAGATTCCGGAACGACCGACTTCTGCAAGCACCGAGTGGAATGATCAACCCACCGATATCTGCTCTCCACCGAGGACAGGGGCTTGGCGGCATTCCGCTGGCCTTCTCGGACTAACTCGACAGCAAGAGAGGCTGTGACATTGGTTGTGGGTCAAACGATACAAGTCCAGTCTCATTGGCGGTGTTGAACAAGAATATCGTGCTAACGGTTTCTAAACTGACGAGATGTGGCCCCTGTGCTTACTGTTCAGGTTAGCAACTTGGCAGTGCTTTGTGATGCCGGGGCACCATCATGTTTCAAGAAGTGTGACTGCTGAAGGTCTGTTCGCACGTATAGATTGCTTTTGTATGTCGTCATTTCCCATGTTGACGCCATCTGAGGTGCTCCCGCCTCGAGGTGGAGAAAGAAGCTGGTCCAGTTGAAGCGGGAAGGGGAAGTCGTCTCTGACCAAGTGAAGGCCTGTCTGCATCCAAGTGCCCGTAAAATCAGGTACCACCCAAGGGCGACTTTGAAAGTGAAGCTGCTCTTCTGAATGGATATCATAGTGTCTGGGTTTGCTGGGTTTGCTGCAGCCTTATCAGAGGGGCCGCGTCCGGCTACGCCGGCCTTTTCTATTTTGGACGTAAAAGTATCGTATTATCTTGGTAAGAGCGGGGTCACATTTTGGGGGCGGTTATGAGGCTGATGTACATACATCCTTACGTGCCTCGTCGACTGGGCCATATTCCATAGAGTATATAGTTATTAGGCGTCTCGGTAAATTAAAAAGTCAACTGATCTTGTTCAACTTTGACCTCGCTTGTCGGTTAGGACTCCCGCTATCCGTTTCGATTCCCTTCAACTCGCACTTTCCAAATCATCATAATGTCCAACATTACTCCCATTATACTCCCTTTATTTAGTCTAGGGATTGTCTACTTCTTTTGTTTAGGAGTCTTGCTGCTTACCCAAGACAAGGAGGAGCCTCCCCTAGCCCTACACTCTATCCCGTTTCTTGAACCTTTGATCCAACTCCTCATTCGAAAATACAAGATTTGGATATACCTGAGGTAAGAGACCGCAGAATTTATTTACCAAAATGACACACTCTTGGCCATAGGCGTCGTCGCGACATGGCCTTGTCTCAACATTAACTCTTGTTATTAGAGACCGATGCAATCAGCCAATCTCTACTATTCGTTTACCAGGGATCAGGTGCTATGTCATTCACAACAGCTCCCTGGTTCTCGCCGTGGACCGATCTTTCCAAACCCTCTCATTCGCCCCAATTGAAGCCAGCGCAACCGCCACCACCTTGGGCACGACGGAGGCTACAAATGAGATTATGAGGCGCGACCCGGCGGGAAGCAATGGCCATTTTACAACTTTTCACAGGGCCGTCCGCCCACATCTCTCTCCTGGCTGGGGGCTAGATGGCATGGTTGAGAGAGCTCTTTGCGTCGTGGGAACGTGCCTCAGCAACACGCACAACACGAGTCCGCAGAAAGTCAACTTCTTTGGCTGGGTTCGACACATGGTCCTCCTGGCCACTACTGAAGGCGAGTATGGACCAGGAAACCCCTTTCGAGAACTAGCCTTCGAGCAGGCTTGGTTGTGAGTTGGCCCAGACAATATTTCCACGAAACACGGCCTAACTGGAACTTGACACGTATAGCAAATTCCTACCTGGTGTGCCCATCATGGCAGGGGGCTTTTTCCCCTACCTGTTTGCTAGGCAAAGCTCCTACGCTCGCGAGTATCTTGCACAAGGCTTTGAGAGGTATTTCCGTGACGGTCATCACCTAAACGGCTGTGCCGCACTTCTCGCTCGCATGGAACACGGAGTAGCAGCTGGGCTTCCCGCATCAGATCGAGCGCGTGGAGAGATTGGCTATAGCATGGCGCTTGTTAATAATACAGTCCCGGCCGCTTTCTGGCTGCTTCATCATGTCTATCGGGACGCGGCGCTCCTCGAAGAATGTCGGAGGGAGCTATCAAAGGCGGTTCAATTCGAAGAGGATGGAACGAGAACTATTCATCTCGCACATGTCCAATCCTCGTGCCCAACGCTCAACTCGACGCTGCATGAAGTATTCCGATATTACGGCATCGGCACTGTTCTCCTCCGCCAGGTTGTCCAAAGCCACAAGCTCAACAACACCTACTTGCTCAAGAAGGGAAGCTTCGTACTGATGCCCAACATCACACAGCACTACTCCCCAAAAGTCTGGGGATCTGATGTAGGATAGCATCACCTAAAGCCTTTGTTCAAAGATGATGAGCTGACTCGGGACGTGTAGGCGAACCACTTTAACCCTAGGCGTTTCTGCTTCATCAAGCGTCGCAACCCTGCCGGCATGCGTGTCTTTGGGGGCGGCGCAATACTCTGTCCTGGGCGTCACTTTGCTGAAAACGTCATCCTCGCGTTCGCCGCCCAAATGCTACTTCGCTTCGACGTACAGCCCGCCAACGGGGTCTGGAGCCCAATGGTGATGGAGGAAACGTTGGGACTGGGCGTGGCCAAGGTCTTTCTACTACCAGCGTGTGACCCGGAAGTGGAAGTTGCCGCAAGAGCCCCCAATGAGCATGTCTGGCGTGTGAGGCTGCCAAAGGGTTAGATTGATGGGTCAAGTGCAGTTTGGTTGCACATGTGTTCCCCTCAACTCCATTAGATCGTTTTTGCGATTTCAATTCTAGCGTCTAATGCATGCATGTCAACTTGCTTACATCAGTCAATGCTGGGTTACACTAGTGAATGCTGGGGCGTCGAGGCGAACGGTAAACATGTCGGGGATCGGCATCGTCCTGGTTGCCCGGGTGGTTTGCCCCCAAAGTACCCTTGGCCGATGGGGGCCGAATGGCGCATATCCATATCGAACACACTGCATGCCAAACTGACGTCGATTCTTGATCGCCTTTTCGCGGCTATGCTGATACTTGGGGGAGGGGAAGCGTCCTAAAATCTGGACCGCTTCGGCCAAGATAGACTTGCGTCTCGTGCAAAGACGTGCCAACATCTCATCCTTGGCCTCTTCCATACCTACATGTACAATCCAGAAGACCATGTTGGAGCTACGACATTTCCTAGTCGTGCAGCAGACCTTGTCGGAGATGAGTTGGCTCAGTCTACTATGGAGTGCTCTCTGTCTTTTCCCCCTCTCTCTTCTACTCTGTCCTCGTATTTCTCAAAGAAAGGAAAGCCCATCTAGCAGCGCGGGGAACTGCCCCAAACACTGGAGGGCCTATGACTGGCCCGTAATCGGGTCGAGCATACAATTCTTTACTCGGCGGCGTGACATGTTTCTTCATGGGCGACATGTGTTCCCGAGCCGCTGTTTTAGTTTCTTTGTGGGGAGAAAACATGTTGTGGCACTGAGCGGCGCCCAGGCGCGTCAAGTCTTCTTCGAGACAAAGGGCTTGAGTCTAGCCCAAGGGTAATAGGTCCCATAGGCCCAGCCATCTCATCATCCAGCATTTTCTAATTGCCGGGTGCGCTAGATTTGTCGAACTGTTGACTGGCAAGCTGCCGTCTGCCAAAAACGAGAAAGACTACGGCCTCAATAATCTCATCAAACCGCTTCTTCACTTGACCCGCTCCCAGGAACTGACCAAGAGAATTTGTCCCATCAGCAATTTTGTTGCCGCGTTCTGCGATGAACTGTTCTCACGGCCAGTGTCAAGCTCAGCGTAAGGATATGCCCTCTCTATCCCGACCACAAAAAAGAAAAGGAGCCGTCTGGCCTAACAGTATCGTCTTCAGGCCCGACTGGCGCGTCATGAACATCTTCGCCGAAGTGCCCCTGTTCATGTTCAAGATTATGCAGCAATGTGTTGGGTTTCAAGAGATTGCCGACGATGAGAAGCTCTTGCGGCGGACATTCTCCACGTACCGAAGGTTTGAAAAGACTACAAGCCACGCTCGCATTGTTTTCCCCTGGCTCGTCACCCCGCGGCACGTCTGGCGGCTGCTCATGGCCGCTGTGCTGTATGTCGACTTGTCAAGAATCTTGAACCGGCGCAAAAGAGAGCGTAAACGTGTGGATGACTCGGTGCAGTTTCTTCTCGACAAGGGGGAAAGCAACTACAACGTGGTCGAGGTAAAGTCCAGCTTCCACATTCCCAGAAACGAGAGAGAATCTTTGCCAACACCAACTTGACAGTTTATATTCACGGTGTTTGTGGCGGGGCTAACAACGACAACATTTACATGCTCATGGCTCGTGCTCTTCCTGGGTCGCCACGAGGAGTGGAAGCGACGATGCCGACAAGAGATTGACCAAGTCCTGGCCAAGCACCGCGAAAGCTCGGTCCAGACGCCCAATGACATTCTCAAGTCTCTCAGTCTCCAGGAATGGGAGTCGTGCTTCCCCGTGGTTGGCATTTGTCTGCGGGAAACGCTCCGGCTGCAGCTACCGGGCACCATGTTCAGGAGAAACGCAAGTGGCATCGACGTGCCCATTGGCAGCTCGGGCGAGGTGATCCCAAACGGCGCTTACGCGGCCTACGCCGTGGCCGACGTGCATTTGAATCCCGAGCTCTACCCTGAACCGCACGAGTTCGGGACGCTATCTGGACTCGCCCAAGACTCACCCAGAAGAAGCCCATTCGTATCTTGGCTGGGGGTCAGGACGCCATGTTTGCGGTAAGTAGTTGGCATTCCGTATCCTCACATCCTCACGGCCATTCAGATGGACTAAGATGGGCGCGCAGCTGGGATGAGGCTCGCCAAGCTTCTGATTACCATGGTTACAGTGCACTTGCTGGCCAACATGGATTTTGCAGTTTGTGACAGGGACGGGAGTGAGAAGACGGCTGGCATGGTGGTGTGGGATCGGAACGCCCTCCGGATGGAGCTTTCAGAGGAGCCTGCCTACGTGCGGTACAGACCCCGAGAGCTGGCCATGTCGTAGTGATCTGGACTCTTCAGTCTATTTTGAGCAGGGGCTGAAGCCGCTCCACCAGGATCGGCATACAGGCCCCGACCAACAGGGTGATACACACACATGTATGTAAGCGGAAGCTCGTCCAAAAGAGGCCGCTGGTGGTGGTCAGCAGCGAGGCCAAGGACCGGGCGCTGAGGCGGCATGTCAACTAGTATTGAACTTATAATGAGGTGGCTCGTCCACTCAGTCGCTGACGGATAAGAGTCTGGTATAATAAGACACCAATATTGGAACCCTGAGCCGTCCCTCACTCACCTTGCCCGCGTGCACCAGCAAACGACCACCGGAATGGATATGGATGTCGCCATCAACCTGATGCGCTCGCCCGACTTTTCCACCTTGGGCATCGTGGCCGTGGTCGCCCTGTTCACCGCGGCGCGCCTGGCAAAGAGATACTGGGTAGCATTCCATCTCGCCTTTGAGCTGCTGCATCTGCCGGTGTCTTGTGAGTTTCCGCCGCTTATTCATGGCCGTGGTTTGTCAAGACTGGTAGTACTAACACGAGGATTGTTAGCTCGGCACTAGAAAGCGGGCGAGGATTGACTCGATGGAGCACTGGAGGCTGGAGCCCGGTCAACGCGTGGTGGACAGGACATACCGGGCAGTGCAGGATGAGATGAGTGGGGACACGTCAATTTAATGTTGGTTGTAAAACATGTATACATACATATGTGCAGTATGAAGGGATGAATGTTGGTTCAATCTTGTCAAGTTTCAAATGGAGTCAAGTTGACATGTCAAGTGGCTCGCTCGGCCGCCAGTTGATCTTGGCGAGCCCTGGGGGTGGGGGCGCCTTGGCGGCCCGAAGACAGCCGACCAACCAAATTGCATTTGATGCCTGCCATCGCATCGCCAAGGCCAGGGCCGCTAGACCCTTTGTGCCAAGCCCAACCGCTCCACCTTCTCCCAACCCGTCAATTCATTCTTGTCTCGTCTGGTCAATATATCTCGACGAGCCGTAGGCCTTTTGCTGTCCCTCGGTCCGCAAAGAACTTGGGTCTCTTCGTTCCTTCATTACGCCTTCAATACTCCCTATTTGAGAGATAGCATGCTTGCTCCGTTGCTGGTGGCAGCTGGCGCGCTGCTCGCCGCCCATCTCCTGCGCAAGTTGTTCGTCAAGCGCTTTGAGCAGTATTCCGGCTTCCCTCAGCACCCTTCCTCTCTCCTTCTGGGACATCTCCAGGTCGTCGATGAATTCGTCCGCAAACAGCCGCCAAAGGCCCACGCCGACATGGCCTTTGCGGCGATGCACGAGGCCTTGGGACGGCCGCCCGTCATGTTTGTCGACTTGCGCCCTGCCTCGTCGCCCATGCTCGTCATAGGTAGCTACGACGTCGCCGAGCAAATCGTCAAGCCCTCGCACCGCTGGCCCTACACGCCTCCAAAGGTGCCGGAAATCTGGAAGCGGCTTGAATATCTCACCGGCCCCAGGTCCATCATCTCGGCCAAGGGCGACGAATGGCGGGCCATTCGTAAGCGCTTCAACCCGGGCTTTGCCACACCGAACCTCATGAACCTGCTTCCGTCCATACTCGATAAAGTCTCCCTCTTTGTCGAGCGCCTCGACAGCCTCGCCTCGGCTGGCGTCGAGTTTCCGCTCCAGAGCTATGCTACCGACCTCACCTTTGACATCATCGGCCGCGTGGCCCTCGACCTGGACATGGACGCCCAGAAAAAGGAGCCCACCGAGTTTATGCGCGTCTTCCGCGACCTCATAGAGACATTCAGCGGAGAGCATCTCGACCTTCCGTGGTGGTGTACGCCGCGTGTCGAGTGGAAGCGCTACCGTCTACACCGATGGGTGAGGGAGAGTCTCCGGGAAATCGTTCGCCATCGCCATGCCGCGGGGGGTCAAGGGGAAAACAACTATAGCATCCTCGCCATGAGTCTTCAGGGCGTGGATTCTCTCTCCCCCGACATGGTCGATCTGACATGCGATCAACTCACCAGCTTCTTGTTTGCCGGCCACGACACGACCAGCACCCTCATGTCCTGGGCCTTTTATGAGCTCTCTCGCACACCTCACGCTCTACGTGCCGTACGTGCCGAGCTGGACGACTTGTTTGGTCCTGACCCTGACCCTGCCGCCGTGCGTGCGACTCTGCTTGCTCCTGGAGGCAAAGAGCTGTTACACCGCATGTCGTATACGACGGCTGTCATCAAGGAGACTCTGCGACTGTGGCCCCCTGGTGCCACATCACGCATGACGGAGCCTGGCGACGGTTTCACGGTCCAGACACCGACAGGCGAGCTGTGTGTAGACGGCCTGATGATTTACCAAGTCCATTCCATCATCCAGCGCGACCCGGAAGCATTTGGCGACACTGCCAACCATTTCGTGCCGGAGCGCTGGTTACATGACAGCGACAAGATCCCAACTGGAGCCTGGCGCCCGTTTGAGCGCGGGCCGAGAAGCTGTATCGGCCAGGAACTGGCCACCATTGAGGCGCGCGTCGTGATGGCGCTCGCCGCTCGGCGGTTCGACTTTACAAAGGTCGGCCGCGGCGCGCTGGCGCTCGACGACGCTGGTGCTCCGGAAATGGGTAGCCATGGTCAGTACAATGTGGCATCGGCAATGTACATGGTAGGCATATTCTGAACCCCCTATTACTTGGTACTTGAGCTTGGTTCTTTCTAACGGCGACAATTGCAGACACGACAGGTTACATCCAAGCCGGTGGATGGCATGGTGATGAGGGTCAAGGCCAGGTAGCTTTGGAAGTCAAGGAACATGCTATAGTATTAAGCCTTTAAATTTGTCTTGACCGGATATTTTAATAAAGCCTTCTACCCTCCCGTCCCATCATTCTTGTACTTGACGTAGGAACCTTGTCAACCATCGCAATGCTATTCCAGCGACAGCGACGCATGAGCCTCATGCACCATGAACTGGATGCGTCTCTGCTTGCGCCTCAGCAGAACCACTGATCTGATATTATCTGCACACTCTCGGCTTAGCGTTCGGATCTAATCCGTTGAGGAGGCTTGAGGTGGGGAAAGGCCCCCAAGGCCCCCAACCTTGTCAGCATGCCAACCAGACACCTACCTATGTACTCCGTACACCGTGGTTATTTATGTCTGACTGATTCCAGCCTTGAGAGGCTCCTAGTCTCCCGAATGTACATAGACTACAAATACTAACGAAAGCCCTGGTCCCCCTTTCCATGGCAGCCCATCACTCGATGTCAGCTGTGTTCGTGTCGTGCCCTGGCCCTTCTTGGCCGCAACACTATTGACAGACAAATTCGCCTAATACTACCAGTACGTGTACATACCTTAGTCGAGAGGACACTGCTTTATTTTCTCAGAAAAGCAACCATGGAGAACTACACACAAACCCCGGCTGGTATTCCGCCCGCTGGCGTGAGCCCAAACTTCATCGACCCCCCCTCTCTGAGTGTTGCATACCAAGGCGTCATTTATTCTTTCGTGCCGCTCATGTTTATGTTCTTGGTCTGCCGTCTCTACGTTCGTGTGCGCATGCTCCGCAACTTTGGGCTCGACGACGGTGCGTGTAAAATCTCCCAAGATATCGGACAGCAGGGGACATTTGTACTGACAAGATATTCAATACAGCCTTTTGCATACTTGGTGCGGTAGGCATCCCCTTCTCTGCGATAGCCCGGCCGCCCTTTAGCAGCGATGCAAACTAACACGGCTCCGTAGGGCAGTATTATTGCCTACTGCGGTGTTCTCATACCGCGTAAGTACAATATTCTGAGGCCCTCTCCGCAACCTTGTGCTGACGGTTCGCAAAGTGCTCGACCATCCGTTGGGGAGACACTTGTGGGATGTTCCTATGAGCGAGATCACCGACAGATATCTCAAGGCACGTGTTCCCTATATATATTCATCTCCTCAGCCTCTGAGCGGTTGCTTTAAAGTCAAGGCTGACAAGCAGGCGACACAGTATTCAACGGTTATTCTGGTCGCATTCTTCTTGAGTGCCCTATTCGTCAAGCTTGGCCTCCTATTCTTCTACTTTCGTCTATTTCAAATTTACCGTCTGGCCTATTGGTTAATTTGGGCAGGCGTCGGCGCCGTGAGCGCCTTCTATTTGATTTCTACCGTCCTCCTCCTGGACAGGTGTGTCCCTCGCCAAGGGCAGACATGGCTAGAAACAACCTACACAGGCAGCTGTACGCCGGTGCAGAACGGCCTCTCCAAGGGCAGCGGCATCTTTGGCCTCATCTCGGACCTGTACATATTAGCGGTGCCTCTGTGGTTCGTCTCCCAGCTGAGGCTCCCCACGAAGCGCAAGCTCGGAGTGTCTGCTGTGTTTTTGACGGGCATCTTGTGAGTTGCGCCCACTGCCCATTACTTTCTTCCAACGTTGGCTGTGCCATGCTGATCGTTCATGTAGAGCTTGTGCGTGCTCCGCAGCAGGGCTGGCCGCGCGCTTTCAATGGGAGCAGAGTGATGGAACCTGGAGCATGCTCTACATTTTTGGGTGAGAATCCGATTCTCCTCTGGTCATGGATTCCGAATCGCACGCGCCGTCTTGTGCCAAGCCCACCTATTAAACGCAAACGGCACAACGGTGCTTGACCTGTCACGTCATTTCCACACCTTTCTTCCAACAAACCGAACAAATACAGAAAGCATGTTAACCCGTCCGTCTCCAATAGCATCCTTGAGCTCAACACGGGCAGCATTTGCGCTTGCATGCCCATCTTGGTACCCTTGCTCAAAAGGGCCAAGGAAACTCTCAGGTCCCTGAGAGAAACAGTCAAAGACTACTTCTATACCCTTCGTAGTTCCCATAGAAATAATGACGCAAGTCGCACGACCAATCGAGGCAAGACTGACGAGCTGGGGAAGCTTCCCGACATCCCACAAAGCGCCTTGACTCGGCTGCGGTCCTTTATTCGCAGAGCCAACTGGTCCAGAGCGCACGAGACTGAACTCGAAAGGCAGGGCGATGGCAGTGTACTCTTGACACAGGACTCGGCTTTTCAGAACTACCATCATCAGTTGAAGGCCATGTACTCGCACGATGTGGAGAAGCATGCTAGCTCTGACACGAGAAATTAGGAGGCACTATAGTGATTACAAGATGGATGTTCTCTGCTCAGGTAGTGTTGTTGACTCGTTGTGTCTGGATTAGCTGTTCGACAGTCGAAAATATACAACACAATTGTATGCACAAATCATTCCTAGACAAGAGTTTTCCCCAACAAAGCACATTTTGCCCAAACACATGCCCCGACCGAGCAAATTCCTTGAGTAGGAAACCTTGCAGCCCAAGCTCGAACTGAATGCCGAGGCTCTGATTCAGGCAGTGTGAAGGGACGCTCCATGTAACGGCACAAGCTGGGTATATTGACAACTAGCTAGGCGACTGCTACGATCATCTAAACGCTCAAGAAGAAAGAACAAAAAAGGACAAGAAAAGAAGAGCTCGAGGAGATTTTGGTGGCGCTAATCCATGGCTTTGTCTGTCCTGATTTATCCGAATTCCCCGGTGCCCATCTAGAAAGAGGGCGTCAGCCGTGGCTACAGAGCACCCCATCACCTTGGCCCTACCAGTACATGCTGCGCTGTGTGTTTCTACCTGGGGAAGACCAGAACTTGCGTCGGAGTTATTTCCCCCGAGAAGTTACATCGGAAAGTTGGCTCGGTCTCTTACTCTCCTCTTCTTGTTGCACCAAAAAGCAATCAGCGCAGATGAAGCGCTCATGGAGTAATGTCTATTAGAAAAGAACACGGGCGGCAGAGTCGAGGGTCCACAACTCGTGGTGCGGCGACGAACTGTCACATTCTTTAGTCTTGACATGATGAGAACATTGATTGACTTTGTATAGATCCCTCCAATGACGGCGAGTAAGCGCAAACGCAATATTGCAATTGACATTTCCGCTCGGGATGCACCGACTGTGATCTAAACTGCCATGATCGTATAGACCACACTTGGAAGTTGGTACTGTATTCCGTCTCTATGCGAATTGCGGTGGATAGTGGCAAGTGTGCGGGGATGGAAGGAAGCCATCATGTGAATGTATTTGAAGGCGTACATTCATTCGTCATGCTCAAGAGTTGGTCTTCTACATTTGGTGAATAATTACAGCGATTAACTTCAAGACGCGTAATCGAGGGTCTGCAAGTACGAAGAGCATGACATGTTCTAGACGAACAGTATCGCGAGTCTCGAGAGACGACTGGCGTTCATGTCGCTCAGAAGAGTAGCTATTGGCATCAGTTATACCGGGCTCCCCGAGCCCATTGCAGTCTCGTCCCATCCCCTACGCGTCGTGCCCATGAACTCGTTGGCCAGCCGCCACCAAGATCAGCCACATCCCTAACTTGGGGCAGTTACCATACCGCATTCCAGTCTCAGCCGCCACAAGTATCCTCGCAAGGCGCCGCCGCTGGGAAAGCTGTCTCGCAAAGTACAAGGCCTCTAGATGCTGAATGACGAATCTCAGCCCCACGTCTGCAGGCCTCGGCAAAGTTGTTCTTCCATCAGGGATCGTGATTATCATGCTCATTCGGTATACCCAAGTGAAATAGATCAAAATATGTCACAATTTGCTGTATTTAACCCCTACTCCCCTATATGTCGAAATCATCCTGAGCCATGAACTACCGATCTATTCCCACCAAAAATCTTGACTAAAGCATCTATATATTACCACAAACCTTTCGTTTCTCTTCATTCCACTATTACAACTTGTAGTTGGTATCTGCCGCAATTCTCACTACCTTACAACTACAAATAATTTTTTCCTTCTACCTTTCCAAGTTTCGTCGTGCAGATGGCGAATCAGCTTCCTCCCGGTGTTATACCGTTTGGCAGTGATGAAAACTGCACCCTTGAGACTTGCCCAGTCTCATGGAGCATTTACGGTTATCAACCATCGCTAGCGGCTAATACGACTTTTTTGATGCTTTACATTGTAGCTGGAGCAATCCATGGCTATCTTGGTATTCGATGGAGAAGCTGGGGGTTCATGACTGGCATGCTGCTGGGATGCCTTTGCGAAGTCATTGGTTACACCGGTCGTGTCATTATGTGGAACAACCCTTTCTCTTACCCGGGCTTTATGACCCAAGTCAGTGAGCCAGTCTCTTGCTCTAATATCATCACAACGACTAACATGATGCAGTCTGTCTTACTATCGCCCCCGTCTTCTTCACTGCCTCCATCTACGTTACGCTTTCAAAGACTATTGTCAACCTCGCCCCTGATTTGTCACGGTTTAAACCTCAGCTTTTCTACTGGATCTTTATTCCTTTTGATGCTACATGCTTGCTCCTCCAGGCTGCTGGTGGTGCCATGTCTACCAATTCGACTGGCAGTAATCAGGTTAGCAACAACGCCTTGAGGACATGTATTAAATGATGCCAAGCTCTAACCTTGTTATAGACCGGTGTCAACATCTCTCTCGCCGGTCTAATCTTACAAGTCGTCGTTCTTACAATATTTGTTTTATTTTTTGCGGATTTTCTCATCCGTTATTTTCGATGCGGTCAGACGAAAAAGTTTGGATGGAGGCTAAAGGCCTTCTTTTCTGGTCTTACTATTGCGATTATTCTAATTCTCAGCCGTTGCGCATATCGTGTTGCGGAACTGCAAGATGGGTATAACGGCTCGCTAATTAAAGAGCAGGTTCCTTTCATTATATTGGAAGGGGTTTTTATTTATCTTGCGACCCTAGCCTTGTGTTTTGGACATCCAGGTCTCGTCTTTAAGAAGCCGAAGGCTACCTTTCCTAATTCGGCAGATGCTGAGGAAGGAGGTGTCCCACTTGAGCGGAAGTAGGGAGATGTTATGCATGACTACTTCCACATATTGTATGAGATGGATGCAGTAGTTCCTGTCGAATTTTGACCATACAAACTTGACTTCAGCTTTAGTTGATGTGAATAAATCATAAACTACCTGTTGACGAAGCAAGGTGTTTCTCCTGCTTAATTTTTAGAAAAGTTGCCACGTTGGGATACTATTAGCATTTCCCGGCTTTAATGTTTTAATGCGTTCCACGACCCTCTATGGTAGCATATGGAGAATCTTACAGGCTACTAAAATTCTCTCTACCTGTATGTACTAATCCCGGCTTGAATCGTATCCTAATACCAGCCGGGGCTGTACTGTCGATTTTGGCACTCCCACTTCATAGCAAGACATACTAAAATACGAAACGAAATATTAAAATCTAACGAGCCTTAGCTCAAGGCGCTACCATTAGAACAGATTATAAGGGGTATATATCTTGTCGAACCGGGTGGGGTTTGGTTTATCTTGTTAGTTAGTACCAGCGTTGAAGTGGTACTTGTGGGAGTTGAAATTATTATTAAATAGATTATTGTCATCGGGCATAGAATACAAGTGATCCTCGGTTACAGAGATTTACTGAAATTAACTTTTGAAATGTCCTGTGAAGACGTAACACGGACTGTTCGGCTGCTTCAATTTCAGCCCTGCCGCTATAATATTTTCTGCCACGGCTGATAGAGAGAGTGTAAAAGAGCTATACCATCGGGCTTTCTTTCTGTCCAAAGTTCACGTAGAAAAGATTCTGATAGAAACAGACACCCTTCTATTCCAAAAGTTGGGCAAGATGAATAGCCATCACGCCTATACCTATGGTACGAATATTTTATGAATGAGAGCCAGATTATGTTCCAGAGCTGACTTTTAAGGGCTTTATAGATCTAAGATAGACTGTTGGGGATATCACGGGCTGTTTTATAGCATAGGAAAACCGGGCACGTCCGAATATATGGAATGCCACTGCTGACTATCCCCTACGCCAGCAAAGAATAACATACCCTTCATGATTGCTGTATTATTTTATCGTAGACTGCTTGAGAAACAACTATCGCATGATTCATATCTTATTAAAGTATACTGCGGATTCAAAAGTACACGCATTTATGAACCACAGAGCTACCTTAGGCTGGGCCATACCGAGTCAAACATTTTATTTGAACAATACTTTGTTTAGCGCTGCGAGCCAATCATTCAGGTCATCACATACGCGGAAATGTTTCTGGAGTCCAAAAGATTCGCAATATCTCATGTTTGAAGACAAGAAATAGCCATGGTGAATAATACTGTGCTGTTATGCGGCTTAGAGTCATGCTGCTGCGCGTTTGGGTACGGTAGAAGAGCTTGAAAACGTTAAACACAACCAAAGGCAATGTCGCTTTTTGGCCCGGTCCTTTGTATTCCTGCACGTTTACATTTTTCGGCCAACTCCCAATGTATTGCTTCATGGGCGGTCGGCTCTCTCGACCAGGGCATATTGCAGTCTTGGCCCTCTCTTGCATCCTCAGGACTTCCTCACAGATCGACGGTGTTAAGGAAGCGCATCCGGGGCCGCTTGGGACAAACACAGCATGAGCCTGTTCCTTGTATCCAAAAAGCAATAATATAGAGTGTCGAATTAATTTGGAGTGCTCGTACAGAGCACTTATGACTGTTCTGAATTCGGCATTTATCCCGAGGGGCCAACGGATGCTAGTGTCCATTGGGGCTTCAAGACGTGAGACTGATCTTTTTTATACAACTTCTCGATAAGAAGCATGATCCAGTCTTAAAATTTCGGGTCAGTTAACGATGAAATAGAAACTATAAAGCTTGTAACATGCTATTGTAAATTCGCTTCTTTGATTTTACTTGTCGCCAGTGTAGGAGTCATGACAAGGTATCGAGGTTTTTGATCATCGCAAGACCTTTTTTTCATCGGTAGACCCGCTCTTGTCGTTAAGTCATCACATGGTTTTCAATTACGGTGCTCACCCCAGAATTGGTGCTTCTTTGATATTATCTTTCTCCGAACCGCGGGGTTTTGTTGCCGCCTCTTGGGCTCCATGATTTGGTTTAGGGTCGGGGGCCAAAGGGGGGGAGCCAAGATGTGCATACTTAGTAGCTGGATATCGGGGATATTCGGCCAAACGCCGCTAATGCTGAATCTCTTAATTCCATGGCCTAGTGGTCAGACCCGATGGTCACTCCGATATTTGGTGTTGTAACCTCTCTCCTGCTTCGTGGCATCGTGTTCATCGACCTTGATTAAACATTACTAGACGCCGGACGCGTACTAGCATCACAATTAATGAAACAAACTAAGGTCAGAGAATTCGCTATGACGGATTCTATCTGTGACACGCGATGTATGTGGTACACGATTATTTTGATTAGCAGCCAGGCCTAATTGTCAAACCAGACGTATTGTCTCCAGAAGCCGTGTTACTAGTGATGGCGTCTCGCCAGGTTCTAGTTGACAAGGCGCCCGGTCAGTTTGACCAGGCTAAGCTACAATTGAAGCTCCTTTCCTCCGGGGCAGATATTGTATTTAGTTCTTGCCACCACGGTTTGACTTGACACGCACTGCAGCAAATGTCCCAAGCTATAATGGACATCTGCTTCCGTCAGGCATCCTTGAAATACACTTATACCAGGCAGCATCGAATCTGTGCCTGTAAATTTTGCCCTACAATATTTGTTCCTCGGCTACCCTCACTTCAACTTTCATCCCCCAGGGATGGTCCGTACCAACCCAATTCTTCTTCTTCCCTGCCTTCTTGATTACTTTCAAGTTGTCCCTCACAACTTTGTTCAACTTCTCCGGGTCGTGCTTGACCTTGCGTATAGAAATGTTCAGCACAAGGCCTTCCTTCGTTCCCTTTTTTCCCAGGGTTGACGACCACGACGAGGAGAAGAGAACTTTCAAATTGGAGGGGTCGACCTTGCCTGAAGGATACAGGCAGGTTATAACAAACCCTACCCTTCCTAGGTATTGGGCCCACCAGACTTGCTCTGGGCTGATGATGCTCCGGAGAGCATCTCGGAATTCGACCTCCCGAGGCGGCAGTTCCCCGCGATACCGAGCTTGGAGCATTAGGGCAAGCCGTGCACGGTCTTGATGAGACACGCCAAGCGTAGATGCCAGGATCCCGGAGCTTGTTGAGTAAAGTGCTGCAGTGGAAGCCGTCTCTTTAGACATGAACATGTGGACGTACATTACGTTGGCAAAGGCCTCTATAACATGGCCGCCAAATTCCGGCGGAAATCTCTTGGTACCATCCTTGGAAGTCTTTGGGATTGCTCCTCTGATGAGCTCTTGGATCTGTAGCCTGGATCCCGGTGCAAAATTCCTTGTTATGACCTCGAGAGGGGCTTCTCTTCGAATTGACGCAGGAAGCTCTCTGAACAGGTATCCCTCCCGCACACCACCCTGGCAGAAATGAGCTTCCCGGATGCCAAGAGGGATCGCTTCAGCAAGCACATTGACCAGAAAAGCGACAGCAGGGACTTGAGAGCGTCTTCTATCCGAGATGCGAAATATATCACGAGCCGCCCTGGCAGCCTTCTCTATAGACTTTGTGTCTTCAAACTGCTCTCTTCCCACAGTGTAGCCGTTGATGATTGATATGGGATAGTGTTGTCCTTTGGACTGGTTGAGGTACAGGAGTAGATAACCCCAACCTCGGAAGCCGCCTCCAGAGAGATAGATTCGGAACCCCCCTTCTCTTTGAGCCTCCTCCACCATTGACTGGGGAATCTGAAGCCGATGGTACGCATCCGTGAAATTGCGCACCATTTCTTTGCGCAGTTCCTCCACTGCGTGATCGGCATCCTTTTCATCCTTTCCCTTCCTGATGTCAGCGAGCGTTTTGGTGAGCGCTGCTGCTCCGTACGGAAAGCTAAAACTTCCGTTTGTGCTAGTCCTGATGTGGCCCTGCCGACTGATAATCCAGGTAATCTGAGTGCTGCCTCCGCCGAGATCCATGACTAGCCCTTCCATGGTCAGGAAGCCACTGGCAATGCCCAGTGCGCCTATCTGACCTTCCATTTCTTTTTCTATCAACTCGACATCCTTGCCGGTGGCTTCTTTAATCGATTGGAGAAGTTGAGCCGAGTTCTTGGCCAGACGGGTGGCTTCCGTGGCCACAAAGTAGATGTGCTCCTCGGGGACATCAAAGTCCTTGCATACTACCACGAAGCGTTGGAGGGCATCGCACACGGCGTGTATGGTATCCTCGGGTATGGGGATCTGGTCCCCAGTCTCGGGATCAAACTGTGCATCGTACAGGGAGATTGACGAACGGTATACTATGACTGGGTTGAGAATTCGGGCCAATGGGTCGGAGAGGTCGGTTATGGAAAATCGAATCCCGTTGCTAAAGTCGCAGACAAGGATACGAATGTCTGATTAGTCTGGTAGAACGCATAGTGAGCAGCAGCTGCGCGCAGAGCTTGACATGTACCTTCCCATATCAACGAGACCAACCAGTTTGTCTCTATGGCCCTGCCAAGGCGGATGACCATCTTCTGTCGAGGAGACTGAAAGTTTCGAGAGATGGCTCGGCGCGTGGTTGTTTGATGTCAGCAGAGTTTGTGGAGACTCGGATACGTCGAGTTCTTCAAAGTCGGAGAACTCGGGGCTGTCTAATCGCGCGGCCATGTCTCGAGAATACTCGTGCTATTCACGCCCGGACCGAAGTTTCTGAACAATGAGTTTTCTAGTAAGAACGAGGAGTTCTGGTTTGTGTTATTTCCGCCCGAGTCGAATCGGACCTGTACTGAGTACTTGGGAATGAGCGTGGCTGGGATTTAAACTTTCGGGCGCAATCGGTTTCGAGAAATGTGCTCGGTTTGGAGAGAGCGCTAGGCCCTGTGGCACGATCGAAATGCTGAAAAAAAAAAGGGATTACATGTCCTCCACATTGGAGAATTTGCCGAGACCAGCATTCTTGTCGGCTACGGTATCGCTGCGAAATTCACGGGTGTGTGTAGACTTCTCCGCAAGTGGCAGAAAATAGACCACCAGGCCACGACGGTTCCCGACCCTTCTGAAAGAAAGCGGTATGAAGTAGGTGCGTCAAATAGTAGTGGCAGCACCCGGTTTGACTGTCGCAGCAAGATCCTGATTGCTGACTACCGGGCTTGCATGACTCGCCCACCACGCCACCAGACTCTTTGCTCCGGTTAGCGAAGCTTACCCTGCACTCCTAGTACTAATCTTCCTGGCGGTGCGTTCAAGGCACAAAAAACTTCAGAACTTGGACCCGTCGAACAGGTTCCTTTTGACAGTTCAAATGTACATGCAAAAGCCATAACTGGCGAAACTATTGTCCTTTTCGTTACAGTGCTGTCGAGAATGGAATGAATAGAAAAAGAGACCGTTTCAGAGTGCTGGGACGAGGAATCGGCTGTCTACACCGGACGTCATGTCTTGAGTTTGAGCACAAAATTATTACAACTTCAATGCAGGTGCCGACGGATCCTTGACTTCCACCAACAACTTGCCCTGGTTCGCACCGTTGTACAAGTCCACCAACGCCTGTTCCGCGACGGCCAGCCCGCCCTTGACTATTGTCTCAGTCTTCTTCAACTTTCCCTCGGCCAACCATTGCGACAGCTCTCTCCGAATCTCCGGGATGCGGTCCTTGTGGTCAAAAACTATAAAGCCCTGCATCTTAATTCTCATGGTAATGACCTTGGAAATGTTCTTGGGGCCGACAGGGTCGGCCGAGTTGTACTGGCTAATTCCTCCGCACATGACAAATCGTGAGTGCTCCTTGGCTCGCGCCAAACACTTGTCCAGAATGTCGCCGCCAACTGGTCAAGCCTGGTCAGCATGATGAAAGATGACGGAGACACGGATGGTGTAGTAGTAACAAACCATTGTCGAAATACACGTTAATGTAGCTCTTGGTGGCAGCCTTGAACTTTTCTCCGAAATCAGACGCCTTGTAGTTGAGCGCAACGTCGAACCCGAGCTCATCGACAAGCCAACGGCACTTGGTATCGGAGCCGCAGATGCCAACGACCGTTGCGCCCTTGATCTTGGCAATCTGGCCAGCGACGCTGCCCGTCGCGCCCGCGGCGCCAGAGACGACGACGAGCTCTCCTGGCTTTGGGTCGCCAATCTGCGTCATCCCCCACCAGGCGGTCGCACCGGTAAGCCCCAGGACAGAGAGAATATCCTGCGGTTGGTTGGGGTTGAGGCCAGGGAATGACGACGCCGGCTCAAATTGTCCCTCGCCGAGGATGGCGTACTCTGTCCACCCAGACATGGCGCTCACATAATCTCCGGGCGCCGCCTGCTTGCTCTTGGAAGCAATGACACGAGCTGCCGTGGCTCCTCGCATAACCGCCCCGAGCTTCACAGGCGGGAGGTAGGAGCGGGTGTCTTGCCAACGGGGCCGGTCAGCATTTGATGATGCCGGCTGTGTTTGGGGTCACTGGTGCTTCTAAATTCTCACCGTTTAACCAGCCACGCATGGCGGGGTCCAGGGACAGATAGATGGTCTCGACCAGAATTTGCCCATCTTGCAAATCAGCTGGTGACGGTAGAGGCGTCGTCTTTTGGTGGAAAGTCTGTCCGGGAACAATGGCGCCGGTTGGTCGCTCGGCAAGGACCACTGACAGATTGTCTTGTTTCATTGTAGCTTCGAGATTGGCGGGTAACAAGCACCAGGATGAGTGTAAATGTTCAGACGGAGAGGCAACGTTCGTTTTGAAGTATGCTCCTCTCTCCGCTTTTCAGCCATCAATTGCCAACGAAAAATATCGAGATTGGTAATACAACAGTGCTGGCGTTCGGCTGAAGTAACTGCAATTGTTCAAGTATGAGCATTTCAACTCGGAGACTTTGCCGGATCGGGAGCTGCTCCTTGCCAAACCTCGGGAAAGCCCACTCACCATGGTAAATAAACGACATCTGGGCTAAATGAACGAAGTGTGGGGAGATCGAGGGCGGGATTGATGCTGTGATACAGCCCGGTCACACTGCCGAGGCTCCAGGGATGCTCCGAGGTGACCGGACAAGTTTCCATCTCTACATAGATGCTTCACAATGCGTACACGCAGACCTAGGTTATCTAAATGACGTATATACTTTAGTTCCATTCGAGTTGAATCCCAATATTCTCACCAGTAGTCGATTGATCTGTACCACGGCCGCTCAGCGCTCTTTGATTCTGTAATTTTATCGGCCTCACGACTCGACTCAGTTGTTTTTGCGGTCGCAAATATTCAAGACATGTTCAATTAATGTCAAGTAGTCCAATTTTTCATGTAGTAACCTTTCCGCGTCTTCACCATCCCCCCAGCAGAGAATGTCATTATGATCCTGTTGCTGTCAGGATAGCTACTAGTTACTGCCAAAAAAAAACGACTTTGCTGCGGCAATTCGACTTGGTGACAATCTGGAGTACGAATTCCCGTAACCAATATAACCAAGCCTGTGAAACCCATAATATGAAAAGCGAAAGTTCCGACTTGGCCGAGTGTCCAAGTCACCAATAAGTCAAGTCACTCCGCAGCGTTGTTGGTTACTTGTCTAAATGCAACGCGTGCTTGACCTTGTCCATTGTTGACTCCTTCTTCCCATGCTTGGCCTGCTCCGCAGCAGGCTCCCCAGCAGCTGGGTTTGATACTGGCATCGCCGGCTCCGGCTTGTCTGGATGCATCTGAATCACATTGTTAGCTAAAACCCGACCAGTTGTTGAACTATTTGGAGCGCGGCATACTCTCTCCTCCTCCTCCTCAGCTCGCGCAATCAGGTCGTGGCCCTCGATTGCCGCCTCATCCGTGATTCCCGTCTCGTAATCTGGATGTCTTGGATTGGGATGTCTTGGATCAGTCATCGTGTATGTATTTATCGACGACACTTGTAAGTTTTAAGCTGCGGTTCAGATCTTTAATCTCTCAACTAGAGAATTGAAAGCTATCCGAGTCTGAAATTTGCCACCCGGGGCACAGCTTGACCGTTTTATAGCTTCCCCTCAGGAGCATCATGTGCCCAGCGAGAGCATGCCGCCACAACAGTCAGCCATGTTACAACAAACGTCATGGCTTCGAAATATCCAATAAGATGGCCCTATGCCGCCACCTCGAGCACACCATTTCGCTTCGATCCTGTTTCTCTGATGCATAGTGCGGATTGGGATCGCAAGTGTTAGCGCGGTTATGCTTTTGGTCTAAATGACATGCAAAGTTGAGTAACGAGGTTAATTTCGAGACAGTGTGTAATGAGCAGATGTTTTGGGCGTGGTGGTTGTCATGCGTCATGACATCAAGTTGCGCCAACCATCACAGTTTAATCGCTTTTCTAGAAGCTTGTTGGACCCGACTGAATTTCGGGATACAACAAGTGTAGGAGTGAAACTGTCCTGTCGGAAATTCGTCGGTTTGTTTAAGCATTTTGAGAGCATTTACCTTCCATGTAAAACACTTCCTCAGCCGACAAAGGCTATCTGGATCTTCTATGAGCTCGTAAATCAATCTAGGTCGGTTTATTAGCCTCTTTGATAATGGACTTTTGCTTCGAGGATTCGATACGTTGTCCTTGCGACGCGTCTAATCATGGCAACGCTGAATGCGGAAATCTGGCACAAATGTGACACTCCGCGGCTAGTGAATCTACATGTAACGGCTGAGGTCCTCGATGCATGAGGTAAAACGACGGGGACAGTCTTCATTTTCCGTCTAGCAGATGTTTGGTGCTTTTCTTCACTACTCATATTGCTAGCTTTTGACGCATCGTGATGCGTTCATAGTGAATGGCGTATATTACGGTTCTCTAGCTTAGTTACGGCCAGGCATAATGTGTTACTTCCACCGGGCCTTACCTGATGAAGTGTTTGTACGAGCATTTGAATAAGTCGAATAAAATAAAATTTGATAATAAATCTCTGTGTGCTAAACGCCTTTTCTTAAATCTAAAGACTACGGACTGCAGCCACCCATTTACCCCGTGGGTAATCTAGTTACAATCATGCGGTGGTGCAAGATACAAGAGCAGAATTACAGGTTACACCTAGTTACAAAAAGGGCCAAGAGCTGATTTATTCGCAAGTCGTTTCATTTATTGATTCCTTCTTTAGTGATAAATACAAGTGTCTGGTGTAAATGTACTAATGACTAGAAGGGCAATAATAACTGACGAACAGGACGTCTTGGCATCCCGCCGGTTCCTCCCTGCCCATTATAGCGTGCCTGCCGAGGGTACAGGAATATAGGTCGCTGTGATTCAATGCCTTTAGGACCAGTAACATTTTGGAACTTGGTTGCAATAATGTCCTCAGGCACCTCGCCTTTCTCTACCCGAATCACAATTGCGAGTACATCATGTTGACGGTCCGTAAATCTTTGAACTCATCGGTCATTGCATTTACAGGATCTCCCCGATCGTCTTTGGTCATGTCTGCATATTTAAACTTTGTAAAGTCCTATTGCCATCGTTGGAAACCCAGTAGCAAAGAAGATCAATCCCTAGCTTCGAGGGCTTACCGAGAGCTGGTGCATCGGAGCTGATTGGTAAACCAGGAAGTAGCAGGGTTTTATTTGGGTTCAGTTAAGGTGGTAGAGCTTTTCAGCGTTAAACAGGCCGTGTTGTTCTAACCCGGCCGGCAAAGAAGTTCGTTCAAAGTTGAAATTACAGCCATCAGGATCGCCTATAACCTGGTCAAGAAGACCGTCTTGAGCCACACATTGACGAAGCATCTTCTCGGCTATTGTAGAGCAGAAAGATAAGTGCCGGTATATAAATGGATCTATACATTGGGAAGTTATTTGTCCTCGTTGAATAGTCCACGTCTGCACACCAAACTGGCGCTCCCGCTACTACACCGTCAAACGGTCCGATTGGAGTTGGACATCTTTCGGACCCTGCCGACCGTTGAATGAGCAACTTGAATAGTATGGGAATTGTATAGTACTAGTATAATACGCACTAATAATTGTCCTTGGCGTAGTGACGGAACCATGCACGGCGCGGTGACGAGAACCCCTAATCGGAGCGGACCGGGCGCCTTTTTTTTGAAGTTGACACACGGGCCATTTATTTACGTGTGAAACACGCTCAAGGGTCAACTGGTGTGGATATTAATGACCTCAAGTGCTAGCTGAATCTAGTTAGGCCCGCATGAATATTGACTCCAGGTTCTCCGAGCTGACCCTAGTTGATAAGCTTCCCCGGCTGGTTTGACCCCAGCTACCATCGTCAAAAGCTGAACTGTGTTCCGTACCTGTTGAGATAGTCGCAAGTCCGTAATGGGGAGGGGCGCCCTATTTATTTTATAGTCAGGCATTTTCTTCCTTTTTTTTTGCCAAAAGAAAGTAAGAATTGGTTGCCAACTAACCATATCAAGCCAGTTTACCCCCCTCTCCCCTTCTCTTCCTTTTTGAACCATTACCCGTTGCCATATGTCGCAGAGAATATAAGGGGGTATAACACACAAAATACTGTGGCGTGGCCACGCCCGTTTTTTGTGTGTCACCATAAGACCAGAATTCCACTCTTTTGGAAGAAATGTATTAAAATGACATGAAGGTATTCTGTGGTGTCTTGACATTGCTAGGTGCAGCACATAGTTCAGGAAGCTGAGAGGCATTTTGCGGAAAGGGCATACTCGTAGCGGCGTCGCCAAATGAGTCATTTGAGGGAGCCTGAGATATCTAATTACAATGAAGCATCAGGAATAGAGCGTAAAATTGCTTCAAAAATAGAGCCTGTGCATCTTGACTCGTTGCGCATGGAGGCCTCCAAGGTCGTGAGTAATACTAGGAACAGTAAATGGTTCATTTTAGTCTTGGGATGACGGAGTAGGGGGTTATGGGGGATTCCAAATAGCACATCTAAGACTATATTATGCCATATATGCAATCACAGGAAGTCTCCAGAAAACTTGCTCTTCCCTCGGCTACTCTTGCCGACGTGGTCATATACATTGAGAAGTTTTGAAATCCTGCCTATCAACCTAGCCACTAGGTTCCAAACGGGTAGGTAAACACCAAACTAAACTGCGCCTTGCATATATTCACCGTTTCGTTACCAGGCACATTACCTAGTTAATAATATAGACGCAGTAATTAACCCGAAGGGTACCCTCATCTCATCTTGGAATGATCTTGACAGTAAATAAATACGGTAGTTAGATTGTTTATGCCACGGGCAGCAATTAGGTAATTGGGCTGCATGTGGAAGCTGCGGGAGTTGACCCCTTTTCATAGAGCCTCTTAGCTAGTATTAGCTAGTAAAAATACAATCCCCCACAGGACACCAAAAGTGCCCTGCAGGTCGTAACCGGCACGCAGGGGGTCGGGTTGAAAAAAAGTTATGAGCCGGTAGAGCGTAGGGTAGTGCGAGAGAAAATAGGGGGTTCTAAATTATCGTACCATCAAGGGACTTGCCTCTAGGCGGAATAAGGAATAGTTAGTATCCGCACTTGCATCCGTCGCCCCAAATACGAGGAGGCGGTGACTCCACCAAGGACAATTATGCCTCACCAAGTTCTTTTGTAAAGCCGCGCAATATCCGGTTTGGAGAAATGCTATCCACAGCTGCCCAGCTGGCTGTCAACCCTTGAATGACTCGTTTATTAACAAAAATCAAGGCTCTAAGATATGGTGTCAAGCCAAGATCAGTCATGTCAATAGTGTGGGCCATGGTATGCTCTGGGCTAGGCCCAACCTTGCCTGTTGACATGGCTGTGTAGTGCCAATTGAGCGAGTCGTGAGGGACCAGTTGACCTGTTCAATTCGTACCCTTTTGCCTCTACGGTATATTGGGTCAGGTTTGTGCTCACACTCACGATAGCCTTGTTAGGCGAGGCCTTGACCTTGACAGGCCATAAACAACACAATTTCGTATCCAATATTGTCAAATGTACGTAATGCATAATCATGCCATATGCGGCCAATATATTTCTCCGCGGCTCTTAGACTGTGCGCCTACGAGGCTAAGAGGTTGAAGAATTACGCAAAAGAAATGACGACACATAGATATAAAATGTATAAAGATGCTACTTTTGTATCATGGGAAACATAACAGGAGCCTCCCAAATTTACATCAAGTCATATTTATATTCTACACTATTAAGGCCATTTTTGCCAAGACGTTCAAGTCACTCTTTCTCAACTTCCACCAACATGGTGTCGGTATCTTTGCTCGTGAATGTTGGCAAATGGGTTGCCTCATTTGCCGTGAAAGCAGCCTGGAAATCCCTTTCACAGAATGATGCTGGACATGCTACTGAGATTCTCCGTGGTATCAGTACCGGGCAACATGAAGTAGCCCGGCAGATTGAAAATTTATCTATCAAGGTTGAGATTTTAGACTCTATGAGACGCATTCTATATTGGTCAAAGCGTATGGATGAGGTTATGGATGATTTCAAGAAGTACGTTGCACGATTTACGATGTCATAACTAACATGGCTAATATTACTCAATAGACTGAATGGTGGACAAATCAATGCGACTGATTTAGCTTATGTCGAGCTTCTCTCTGCTCTTCGAGACGAGAACCTTGGTATTCGCTATAGTACCTTCTCGATCTATAATGCCATCATGGGGTTACCTGGGCAGGGCGCTGGCGCGATACATGTCTGGCATAAACAGGCAATGTCGAAGTTGAGCGATGAAAAAAACCTCTATTATCACATGTCTGATTATGTGAAAGAAATGGACGATAATTTAGGGCCGATCACCTATCTTCTTCGTCAAGGGCTTGTATTAAGCTTATTCACATCGCACAGTTAGTCAGATATCTTTTCTGTTATTCGAAACTGTTATATTGAACTAGTTTTACTGACTCTATTCATAGCCGAGACTGACGCGGAACGCCTATATAAAGAATTCCACGATCAAGTAACGACTATTTCCAACACGCTACTGAAGCTCTACCCGCCTGGTCTTCGCTTCCTAAAACCAAGCCTTGAAGACGCCGGTAGCCAGGATGGCAGTCAGTGGCTGAAGTGGCAGCAAGCCGATAATAGCAATCACCATCTTGTGATGCACAACTTCTATATTCCAGTCCTTGGCAGCGCCAGAGAGCCGATACAAACTAAAAAACCAGAGGCCTGGCAATTCGCCCTCCAGCAAAATGAAGAGCCCCTTGGTGCAATGCAGTTTTTGTCTGCTTGGGAGAATAAAGGCAACAAGCGATTGCGGTATAGCAAGAAATATCAACAAGGATGGAGTATTAACTTTTCTACCAGCAAAAACCGCGACACGAGTGCAATTTTATTCAAGCTCATACCACTTGAAGGTAAAAAGCCTGAATTTCGTTTTGTACCATATCTTGAGGGTTCAATGGGAATTGTTAGTGACAAGAAACGCACATTCGACTGGAAGTTTGTAGCTGTTGCTGAGTAATTGGATATGATGGTGTCAAGTGTTGCGTCCCGAAATCGGGTATTGGGCCGCATGTGGAAGCTAATTTGTCAGATTCAACGTTGACCCTTTTAACTAGCATTTAGCTAGCAAGAATACAAGCACACACATCACACCAAAAGTCTTCGCGGCCCATCAAAGCCGCCCCTTTTTATTAGGCTCGTACGGCGGCCGCTATTCAGTCCGGCCAACATCACTTGAACAACCCGGCCAAATGTATCAATAGCTGCTACAAGCCTTTTAGCTGCAGCATCAGCCCAACAAAAAGGCCTCTGTGTATGACCTCTGCGCCCGGCCTGACCCGTCAGTCGAGAAATCAAGTCTCGCAGCATCTCCAAGATCTTTCCCCAGCTAGCTCTTAATATCGCGAGTACCAGCAGCAGCTACAAGGCCAGGGAGATTGGCTGCCGAGATACTTACACTGCTAAGTATCTCGGCATCCTGAAGCTCGTACCCTGTGGGACAAAGACGAACCGGTGCTCAAGATGAGACGGAATTATTGCCGTCTTCGATTGCCGTCTCCATCCTTGGTCGAGGCGTCAGTTCAGTTGTCGCTAAGATGCTGGTGTGCCAAGTGCCCGCCTAGATATGCCCGTCCGCGGTACTCGCTACTTAGGTGTGCGGTCGTTACAAGTGGTATGTTTGGGGTCTGGATATCTTGCGATACCAAATTCGTTGTGCATACTTGCTCTTTTTGACGGATTGGAACGTACGGGGTCACAGTCCAAAAGAGCAGTAGAATCGAGAGCCATAAGTTAATAACTTGGCAGAACCATGAGGTTATGTTACTCGCCGTCATAAGTAGAAGTCGACATGCCGGTCACACTTCACTTCAAGTAAACATGTGCCTGGCACTGACTGATTCATTCAACCTATGAGATACTCTACCATGAGATAGTGTGTTATATGTCACTGTAAGCGCAAGTTGAATGCACTTTGCCGACGATTTCTCCAAAATAAGCGACGACTCTGACCAATCCGAGCTGCGCTACGGTGAATTGTCTAAAATAAAAACAGATACGCCTTGAACCAAGTCCGAGAAAGATGACATCATATAAGGAAATTTAGTTGTACAGGCTGACACAACTGCCGCAATGTAGTGGGAGTTGTGGTGTTCATAGAATACAGCAACTTTCGTAGTCGTTCGGCGAGCAGTGGCGCTTTTGTCCGGCGACTCCATTTGCAGGATCAAATCTGTAGCATTCTTAGGAAACCAAGATAGCTACTGCAACTTTTTTGGTGCATCTTCCCACTGGGAGACTATTGTCACAAAATGCATCACGCCAAAATTTCCCTGGCAATCTTCCAGCAAGTCGCGCAGCCTCGTCCGTTCTGTATCATCAGTTGAGGCCAACCATGCCGTAGTAGTAGACAAGGGGATATAGACCGCCGCAAGCGGTCGGCCTGATTTGCCTTGTTCGGCGAGGATAAGTGCGTCAGCGCAGAAGGCAAGGCATTCATCCTCCAACGCAGGGTTGGCAAGCTTGGAGTCCCGCAGGAAAGCATTGAATGCAATGCAGATGGCTAGCATGAGCGATTGGGCTTGGTGGTAGCTCGTCTGAGAACGTATGGCATTGATTGAAGACAATGGCTCGGTGCACAGAGGTGACTGAATGTATCCCCAACCATTTTAGTTGGGCAAATTCTTCACGAACCACTGTTATACATAGAGTGGAAACGTTCAATATTTTCCTTGGGTCGTCTCATCAACTTGGATATAATGGCCAACGTCTCGAACTCGCAAGACTGGAATATGCATCCAGCTCCGGCGGCCTTGTTGTCACCTTTCCTCGACTCGGCTGATGCCAAGCTTTGTATACTTTGCAAACAGTCCAAATCCAGGAGTCGAGTTCGATGTTGTCATTGAGAACACTCTCGTACATCCGAAGGGCCATTAACATGGATCTGCCTCAATGGATCATGGAAGAAAGCTTGGCCACTCACCAGGGCTCCAGTCACGCTAAGTATAGCTTTGACTAAAAATTCGTCATCCGTCTTCTAGGAGACGAGATGCTTCATCAACTGCGGCGTCTCTTGACCATGGCTTCGTGCCCTGTCGCCCTTTCTCGCCATCCAGCCATGGCAAAGTGTGACCAGGTACACAGCGCACAACGTGTCAGCTGTGTAAGCGCCGGATCCGTCTCGAAGACAGCTTTGAAGTCTATTGAGTGCAGTGAGATAGTTGCGTAAGCATTCTGGGCTAACTGACCGTGAAGTAGTGCTTTTGACAGCACCAACAAAAACAACATCTGCAGCGTCCAGGGCGGAATGGTGACCAAGTCGCTTTGGAAGTTCCTTCATGACCGGTCCATAGCAATGCACATCATATCCGGGATGAGTTACCTCGAGTAATCTGACAGTCATTCCTGTGAGTTTGGTACTCTCGTTACTTGGCGCTCTGGGACGAGGGGAGCATGGATACAAGTTGGTCAGCAGATGATCTTGCTCGGTGCTGGCTATTAGACATGGCAAGTGCTCGTGATTCGTCCTTGAACTTCAACCTCCGTGTTCCCACCCCGATACATTGTATCTTCCGCCGAGCACACCTGGAACAAGCCGGCCGGACTTGGTCACACTGGAGACACTCTGAGTTAGTCGCGGATTAACTTCCACCATGGTCAAAGCTTGATGTCTCAACGGTAGTTTCGAGGATGAATGTACCTTTTTCTTCTGCTTCCGACACGCTTCGCAACCTCGATATGAGGGAACGCCTGGCATTCTTTGCCTTCACCGCAAGGTACCAGCGCTTGGTTGCTACTCGGGCGCGCCAGTCCCCACCAAGAGTGTATTCAACCCGGCGTACCGGAATCTTTAGTGGCTCCTATGCGTACTCTTATACGATGGAGTTTGTCCACAAAGGTAATGAGAGCAACCGCTGTATCCCTAGTGTGCCGAAGCAAGACCTAGAGCCCTGAGTGGCGTTTCTAAGTTGCAGCTTGCAGTCGAGTTGTGCACAAAGGGACCAAACTGGAGCAAAGCTCACGCCAAGAAATCCCAGGCAATACGGATATGCGGGATGAGTCAATTTTGTGTCGTGGACTCTGTACGTAGGAAGTTTCGTCGGATCTTTGTGGAACACGGCATCGAGCGATGCGGGGAAGATCAGACTGCCAAACTTTGACCTAGAATGCCGATCCAAGAGGAGGAAGCAGGCATAAAGGCAGCATGCTGTGTCAGATGCTTTGGCCTTCGAGGCGGGCACCTCAGACATACGTGTATTAGCCTGCTAATAAGTCTGGTATACACCAATGTAGTACGGCAACACTGTACTGTCCCACGACGGATGGCCAGGTACCCGGTCTGGTGCTTCCCATATGTTAAATCTAGGACTAGCTGATGCACCACAGAGTTTTAGGGCCAAAACGAGTCTGCTATGTAGTAGTTACTGTGTACTCCGTACGGGTACTTCGCACACAGACATGGAAATAGGTCTAGGTCAACTGGTCGCACTCGAGACTAATTAGTAAGACCGCAAAGCCATTGGGAAATGTCGCTTATTAGTTTGTATCCTTATGCGTTGGACAGAGCCGAGATTAGTCCGGCACAGACGCCTTGTCCGCCCCTGGCATTTAACACTGGTGATCCCAATACAAGCTGAGCAACCAGCTTTTCCACCCGACGTCGTGTCCATCTTTTTCCTAGTTGCTGAACACTTGAGCAGGCCGTGCAAACACACGCTCAGCGGCACAATAGGTCGATGGGCTATCAAACCCTCAACAAAAATGTCAAAGACGAAGGCAGCCACTCCCGAAGCTCACGATGCCGAGGCGGCCGAGGCGCCCGTGTGTGATGAAGTGGCGTCTCACCCCCGTGACCTTGCGACCATCGAGGCCAGAGTCAGACGAAAGCTTGATACACACGTGTTACTGCTCCTGTGTTTTCTGTGTAAGCTGACCGAATCTCGTGCAATATTGAATGATGGCTCTAATGTACCATAGTCTTGTTGGCTTTCTTGGATCGATCAAACATCGGGTAGGACGAGGCTTGACCTGGTCATGTTCCAGGACGGCGATTAGCTGACATGTGTCTTAGCAATGCTCGGATTGCCGGCATGGAGCATGACCTCGACTTGAGCAGCGATCAGTATGAATGGCTTCTCACCATCTTCTACATCGCCTACATTCTCTTCGAGCCGCTCATCATCGTCTTCAAGGTTCTACCCACACGCATATGGATCGCAATACTCGTGCTCGGCTGGGGCATTGCCGCCACGACCCAATCTGCTACCCAATCTTGGGGGGGCATGATGGCATGTCGCTTCTTCTTGGCCGCATTTGAGGCCGGATATGGCCCCGGCGCCATCTACCTGTTGTCATTCTTTTACCTGCGCAATGAGCTTGGCCTTCGCATCGGCATTTTTTTCGCTAGTGCCCCGTTGGCAACGTGCTTTGCGGGTGCTTTGGCTTACGCGATCACCTCAGGGCACGCCAGGATAGCTAATTGGCGTCTCTTGTTTCTGGTTGAAGGTGCGCCCGTCTTGGCCATGGCAGTCGTGACGTATTTCGCCATGCCAAACAGCGCCCACCAAGCGTGGTTCTTGAATCAAGACGAAAGAAGCGTCGCTTTGGCACGCCAAGTAAAGCAAGTAGGAAAGGGGACCCGGGTAGGGTTCTTGAAGTGGCGGGAAACCCTTTCCGTTCTCCTGGATGCAAAGGCGTGGCTGACCGCTCTCATGTATTTCTCATGCAATGTTTCCTACTCATCTCTGCCGGTTTTCCTGCCGACCATCCTCAGAGACATGGGTATTAAGAGCCCTTTTGCTCCTCTCACGCCATTCAGTGACTATCTACTGACCCGTGTCTAGGTTTCTCTGGCTTGGCTGCACAGGGCCTCTCTGCACCGCCCTACTTTGCTTCTTTTCTCGTGACAATTGCGACGACTTATATTGCAGATCGTACTCAACAACGAGGGCTTGTGGTCATCGGAATGGCGTTATTAGGTGGCGCGGGATACGTCATGCTCGCGGCAGCATCGACTACTGCTGTTCGGTACGCCGGTGTCTACCTCGCTGCGGCAGGGGTATTCCCAACCATAGCTAATATTCTGCCATGGGTCGTGAATAATCAAGGTAGTGACGAACGAAGAGGAGCTGGTGTGGTTATAATCAATCTTGTCGGGCAGTGTGGTCCGCTTCTGGGCACCAGGGTATATCCTCAAGATGAGCGGCCAAACTACGTCAAAGGTCACGGTATCTGCGCTGCATTCATGTTATTTGTTGCTGTTCTTGCCGTTATTCTGAGGACACTGTTAGTTTGGGAAAACAAACGCCTCGCTGAAAAGTACGAGAATGATGTGGTCGCAGACGAAACCCACGACGAAGGCGTCGAAAACTATGGACCCAAATTTAGATATGTTCTTTAGGAGTCGGAGCCAAATCGAGACTGCAGAACAAACATGAAATGGAACTTTTTTTCCTTCTCCCAGACAGCTTAGTATGACTGCAAATGAGACCTTCGGCATGTTAACTGCCTACGTACATCTGCAGGAAATGGTGGTACTTTTGCCATGGTGCATACATGGCGAGGGGTCGGTCCAGCCCTCTCCCAAGACGTCTCAACTACCAACTTCAAGTGAGTAGTAGTCCCTATTCTTACATTTTACATCCATCAGGACTGGTGCCAGCAACCTCAGCCATGAGCCTCTAATTGATCCATCCCTTTGGGCCGCCCCATGTTCCCCGTACCATTGAGGCATAATAAACCCAAGGGAAAAAGTCCTTCTTCAGATGATAAAAGGCACGACGAGGTTCAACCTGATCAATTCCGAACCAATCGTCGAATGTCTCCTTGGGCTCTCCACCATATTTGAACTCTGCGAGAAGTACCTTGCCGTACTCGGTCAAAAGAGGGCAGGACGCGTAACCATCGTAGACTGCATCTGGCTGTTTACCTTGCACCACTTGGAGTAGATTTCGAACCAGTACGGGGGCCTCGGACGTTACCGCTGCAGCCGTCTTGGAGGTTGGCAAACTTGAAGCGTCGCCCGCAGACCAAATGTTGGAGTATTTCTTGTGGCGCAGGCTGTAATCATCGACATCCACGTAGCCAGCGTCATTCCCAATGCCGCTGTCTTTGATGAATTTCGGGGCGCCCATCTTTGGAACCACGTGCAACAAGTCAAACTCTTTGGTGACGGCGGCTTCTCCATTGGGACGGGCAAACGTCGCTACATTGCCCTTGATGGCAACTAAATCATGTTGGAACAGTCCTTCGACCCCCCTCTCTTTTCGCAACTCTTCCAACTTGGCGCCGTACTTGGGCACAGCAAACATTGAAGGCAGGCCAGTGGCAAAACTAATATTGATAGCCGAACTAGGTGGCGTGGCTGGCGAGTAGAGGCCGGCGCGCTTCCAGTAGTCCAAAGCCAACCACATGACCTTCTGCGGTGCACCGGCACACTTGATAACTCCAGCGGGTTGGGTGAAGATGGCGTTTCCCTTGGTAAGCCGTTCCACGGTTCGGAAAGCCTTATCGCAGGTGTCATAGTTGTAGATTGTTGAGACCTGAGATTCCGGATCATAGAGAGCATCGTGAAGTCCCTCAATATTTCCATAATTTATGCTGAGACCAGGCGCAACCACCAACTGCTCATAATTCAACTTGTCGCCATCCCTAAGCGTCACAAAATTATCGCCGGGAGTAACTGATGCTACGCTCGAGTTGTAGAATTTGAGTTTCGGGTCAATCAAATCCTCAAGTTTTCGGCGCAAGTCTTCCTTGTTCTTCAGCCCGCCTCCAACAAGTGTCCAACCAGGTTGGTAATGGTGCCACACCGCAGGGTCAACAATTGCGACGTCTTCAGGGCCAAATTTTCCGGACCGAAGTAGTTGATGGCTCACCGCTAACCCAGCCGTTCCCGCGCCAACGACGACGACTCGGTGATTTCTTGACAAAGGTACCACTGGCGAGGCGCTGGCAAAGCACCGACGGGTGTGGTGTTGCGAACGGATTTTGGTGAGAGCCGCATTCCACGCCGGCTTTGTCCTCGGGTACCGCATATTCGCAGACACTGCTCGGTGATGTAGGTGTGAAGCAACTTGAATGACTCCACGACGGCTTGCTGGTTGAGAGAGAAGAGAACAAAGGCTGAAGTAACGTTGGCGAACACGAGTAGAAGGATATATATCATGGACAGGCCGCAAGCGGCTTCAATGAGGATTGTAGCCTTCTGTCTGTAAAATTTATGTCAGCCACGCTGGTAATATGAGTGGCTGATCTGAAAATCACGCCATCACACTATAGCAGCTACTGTGGAGACACTACCCGCGTCAAGAAGTGACGGGTGGACCCTAACCCTATAATCAGAGGGTTAAGTACAAGACGATGGTGTAGACAGGAATTCTATTAGAAATTTCTCAAAGGAAAAAAAAACCATTAGAATATGCTATGCATATGTGGTTAAACACAAAAAGTAGCTAGTTAGAACAGGAGTGTCTGGAAAAGACCCCCTAACGCTCCGCCCCTACCCGAAGCCCAAATCTCTAGATAAGGCGGTTAGACGTTCTTTGTATGATTGACAATAATATAAGGGATATAAAAGGAGCTTTAAAGTATGACCTAATTCAAAGGCTTAGCTAAAAGCGGATATAAAGCCTGTAAACAATGTCGCAAGTTACATGGCTAAAGTTGAATATTCGAGAAGCAAGGAAAGAAGTTCAATTCACTACAAGTTTTGAAACACGTCTGGCGTAAAGGTTTCTCATAATCGGATAGTTACACTCCAGCTACAGTCTGAGAATTAGCCCCCTTGATATATGCCAAGTTGGACATCGGGTCCGACTACCTTGGTCCCAGTCCTGTAAAATGAGCCCATCATAGCTGCGCGATGTGTGTAAGTTGAAGCCGCAACATGTGTCCTAGGTGGCCGTAATTTATATCTTAGTAGCTCTTAGACCAGAATTTGATGAAAAGAATGACCCTGTTATACACTTCCAAAGGTTGCCGCATCAAAGAACCAGAGGCCATGTCACTGGTGCAGAAGTCGGCCAGGCGATTCTTCACTTCCAAACATGGTACGCGCTTTATAGATTGTACTTGGTAGACGTTGATGATGACGGCATCGTGAATGTTGTATTTGGCTCATGTCTATGAGAAGTTTCAAATATAGACAGTATGAAGAGAAATATTTACGTAAAGCTTGAGAAAAGAATAACCAGCAGGCTGCAGGAATGTGATGTATGCACATGATGGAATTGATCTTTCTGTTTTGAGAATAGTGCCATTTCAGCATGCATTTATGCGTGGCATTGGCTAGCAGCGAGAGTCCAGCCGGTCAGGCGGTTAGCAACATCAGTTGCATAGCACGGAGTGCTTCCCAGACCATTATTGAGGTTGTTGTAGTCAACGGAACCAGAGTTGTACATTCGTGCGGCAGCGTAGTAGGCGCGGTTACTGCTTCCAACGACACCCTTGGCCTTGCCCAAAGTCTGCTTCAAACCGTCTCCAGAGGAAGTACCGGCAACACCATCCCGAATCATCTGAACAATGGTACCACTAGGGCATGGGTTGACACCAGCACAGCTGCCTGGGCCATTATGCGATTGCATAAGGCCCGGGTTACGAACGCCGTTATTGGTGGTAGGAACTCGCACGCAGCCCTTGCTTTCTTGCATCATGACAGCAAGGATGAACCTTTTATCAACGCCTGTAGAGCCGGAGACGTGATTAATGGCATTCTTGATGTCGTTTATCTCGGCACCAGAATTGTCGGCACCCCATCCATTCCATCCGCATGACTTCTGCATCAGAGGCACGTTGGCGTTCCATAGCGAGTCAAAGCTGCCCCAGGAACCCTGAGATGGCCAGTTGGCACCGCTGTCTTGGTAGAACACGTATCGATCTGCAACGGCGAATTCGTCCACAGTCTGTGTCGGAAGGGCGGTCGACAGGGCAGCCAAGGCCAGGACAGAAACAGGAGTGAGGGAAAGCATTGTAAAGATGAAGGTGAAGGTAATCTGAAGTAATATAGAACTGTTGTCCTAGGTGTTGAGGATTTAAACTTTCAATAAAGGGGATGAGGCTGCTTGCCGTGATTGCTGTGAGCTGGAGATATAAGTCAAGAATATGATGGTCTCTACAGTTTTTATATTCATCTCTCAGATACTACAAGTAGCTGCCCTCATACTTGATTGAACCAGAATGGCCTTGTAATCCGCACACGATTGGGTTGGTTTTCTATGATCCTTCGTGTCGGAATGTGTTTCAAGGCGTCTAAGCCCACCCAAAGGATCCGACCCGACTGCCTTTCAGGATGGCATGATGCGCTTTACAAGTCTTCTGTAGTTGTGAAAATGTCATCTGGCCAAACTTGAATGAATCCTATGGCGTTTTGGTAAAAATCCTACGGTGTTGCTTGAGGTAGCTGTTAGCACCATTTTGGCAGGTGCCTAAGCTTACAAAAATCCTAGCGACGTTGAAGCTGGGGTTGAAGGACGTCCAATTGATGGAATCTATAACTAATCCATGTTTGTTCCTGCATTGGTACAACCTCCCAAGACTTGTCACTGGTTGTTGGTCAGCTAGCGTCCTTGACGGTCGACATGGGCATCCTAAAGGATTGCCCCAGGACAACGTTCCATTTCCAATTGTTCGACGTTGGTCATTTGACGTTGGCTAGTGTCTGCTGCCCAGCGCCGTCTCAGGGACGAAAGACCGTTCCATACAACATGGGAGTTTCCGACCGACCGAGTCGCTACAGAGTAAATGATGGCTGCGAGCGGTCGCATCACAAACCACGCCGAAATCGACCACATCAGGCAGTGCAGGCCGCGAAAATTGGCATTAGAAGATACAATGCGACTTAATTACATATTCCACAAGGCACTGTCGTGAATCACACTTTGTTTTGTTTTGCCCGCCAGTTAAGCTAGCTGTTATGGTTATGATTGAATTTCCATGGACGAATCAAACTCCCCCCCCATTCAATGTTTAGATTAGCGAGTTCCTGCATACTTGCTTTCAGCGCTTCTGGCACTGCTATCCCAGCTGTGTGTGGCTGCTAAAGGAGCCAGCGGATCAACTGGATCAGTACATGTAGTGGGAGGGAAGCCAGGTTCTGCAACGTGACACCAAAGCATGGTCTTTTACTAGAGTTTCGGTTCGGCTCGTTCTTCTTGACTCAATCATTGAGACCCAAGTTGCTGGAATAAATTACTGCCTCTCTTGACCAGCCTCCGGGTTGTCGCTACGGCTGGCCC